CGTTTTTCGGGATTTAGGATTTTTTTGCATTTTTCGCAATAATATCAGGAAAATACATATTTTTGAAACATTTTAAGGCAATAAAAATTTTTGGTCGGAGTCCCCCTTTAAATTGTAAGTGGATATATAGGACAGTAAACCCTAAAACTAAACAATGCCATTGTTTTTCAAAAATCTAAATTTGCGATTTCAATAAGTGACACTTTTAGAACGTTATTAGTTAGTTTCGAGCAATCAAGTTAAATCCAATAACTGCAAAAGTTTTATTTAAAAAAAGACACTTTTGAAACAGAGAAAAAACTATTTAAAAAAGTATGAGACAGCAGATTTTTGAAGTAACTGTATGCATTCTGACGTGATGGTGTACAGTGATTAGTTTTTACACAGATCATGGCTAACGTGACGCTTTTATGTATGAAATCAGTAGCTTGAGCCACCGTATCTCAGCTGGTAGAGCCGTGGCATCTCTCACGATGTGCTCACAAGTTCAACGTTTCGAGGGGATTATTTGAGCGAAGTTGTGAGCAAATTATTACGGGTACCGCTCCGCTCACCGGCTGAGCTACGCTCTCGCAATTGACCATTCGTTATTCCACTTCCTTCAATAGATTTTCTATGGCTACAGGGATCTTCGAACTTTCAGACAACTACAGTTGCTCAGATGGCACTTGGGCAGTATTCCGTTCCGATTCAAGTATTGCCTGCTATACGGTAACTATAATATAAACTTACAACACATTCAAATTTTCAGAAACTCTATGCTGTACAGGGCCCTGGTGACTTCAATTACACCTACTCTAAAACTGGATGTGAACAACAATCGGGAAGTCCTTTAGCTGGCCTTCATTATAAGGAAGATATGAGTTATATGAATAGTTTGGTTGAAGCATTGAAGCCAGTCAAAGGATTGGATAGTTTTTATTCTAGAATTGATGGTATTCGAACCACCGCTTGCCAGAAAACTCCAACAACTGAGTATTGCATGTCGGTGAAGGTGGGGAGTCTATTTTAAAGCACACCGTACTTTCAGCCCATTTATAAGACTTCCTGTGAGAAATATCAAAAAATAGTCTACTACTAAATTACTTTTGATATTATGATGAAAATTTTGTCCGTTGACAACTTTTTGATAACTTTCACAGGAGCCGAGATAATTTGAGTGGAAGTTAGAGTGTTTCCGGTACTTGACCGACTCGGGTCTACCGCGGCTCATAACTCGGTTCAAGCTCGGAATTTCAGTTTAAAGTAATGAGCAAATAGTACAAATTGGCGAGATCTACAAAATTGTGTCAAACTTGGCAAAGTTTAAATTCCCGGTTTCAGAGAAATGATACCAAAAGAGAAGATAAGAGCCCAACTGATATTATCGACTCTGCTGTTTTACGTGTTATGGTTCAGAACTTGTAATTTGAATTTATTTGAAATAACTACCATTTTGTAGATCTCATCGAGTTCTATGTTTTACTTTCTTGGTTTGGACTGAATATCCTAGTTTGAAGCGAGTTATGAGCCGGAACGTAGGATTGGTCCGGTTGATGACTTGAAATTTCAAGAAAATTTTTTTATATCCCCCAACGTGGAAACCTAATTCAAAACTTTGTTTCAGGGTTTCAATTTTGTGGGCCAACCTGTGAAATCCTTTGACAGCTACAACTGGGTTACCAATTCATCATCTCGAGAAAAAAGTGGTTATGACTGTTTGGTTCTTGTTTCAGATAAAAAGAAACCGCTTCGTGTGGATGTTAAGAGGTAGGAGTTTAAATAGGCGTATTCACAAAAATGACGATTTTTAGTTGTACCAAAAACTCTCCACTAACTGTTCAACTTGTGTTCTGCTCAAAACCGGCGTTTACTTAATATTAAAGTTTACTGATTCTAGTGGTTTTCATATTAAGCTTTTTTGTTGTAAATTTCAGTCCACAAAAGATGAAGAGTTCGATTTCATCATCTAAATCTTCTGTTACGCTACCAAATCTGTCAGAAACTGGACCGCGGCCGAGGAGGTATCCGTGGACCAAACAACCGTCTTCTAGAAATCTTATAGAAATGAGCTCAGCTAACCAGAAACTTCTAGCGAGGCATCTGAGAAGTACCCTAACCAAAAATCCGCAGTCATGTTTCCGAGAGCCTTGTCTGTAATTATTTTAAGGGTTACTGTAGATTTCTGGATTCCGAGTTACCATGTTTAGAATAAAGTTTGGGTTTGAAAGAAAAAAGTTTGGGTTTGAAAGAATATATTGAACATTTTTTATTAAGTTTGTGTGAAGTAAACTTTTTTACAAAACCAAAGTGGGACTAATGAAAAATTAATAATCGGGATAACTCGTAGCTGTCTTGCTTCTGCGTTCCGACAAGTTGAAGACGCGGATACTTCAGGAAGCTTCTTGGATTCCAACATGGATCTGAAAATAAAACATACAGTTTTTTACCCACTACACCCCATCTTGAACAAATCCTAAATGCTCTAAAAGAAGCCCACCCTATAGAGTTCAACTTTTTCGTTTGAAAGAAACAAGATAATTGAGTTCAAAGTGGTAGTACACTCAAATTGAATTCAGATACGCGTACGGATCCGTTTGTTCATCATTTGCGGTCGGATCGGATACGGAGTTCGCGAACGTACAGAATACGGAGTAACCCGCAATAATGTGCTGTTTTTTGCTGGAAACGGTTCGCGTACGGTCCGCATACGAATCCTATTTCAACCGCGTGCGAACGTGGAGCCTCCGTAACGGATTGTTCGCGAATCACCTGTGTATAGCATAAGCTTATATTAGAGCATCATGACTTAAATACCCTCTAAACCTAGTTCCTTATACTTGGCACAAATGAATTCCAGAAGAGACATCGGTTTGATGAAGCATGATCTTGAAAGTACCAAGGTCGTGCCTGCTTCGATACGATTGTCAGCAGTCGTCACGGTACACACTTTTGTAAATCCTCCTTTTATCTCTGTCGTTGGATCGTGGACCAAAAGTTGCCAACTGACCAATAGACTTGACATTTTTGACGACGTCTCGAGAGCTTACTGACAATTCTGACTTCATCGAAATTGAAATCGTCTTCACTGAAAAAGTTTTTCTTGAGAATGATGTTGTCTTTTTTATTTCAGACTTTTAAAATTTTGAATTTGAAATTATTCTCTAAATTTTTGAGTCTCAGAATTTCCGCAAATTTCTGATTTTCGGAAAAATTTTTTGAACTTTTTCAATTTTTCAATTTCTAAGAATTCAACGAATTTATGAATGTCTTGAATTATTTGAAATTTGAAGTTACGAAGTTTGAATAACATTTGAGATTTTTTCTCACATTTTCGAGTTCTCGAATTTTTTGGAGTTCCTGTATTTTTTGAATTTTTTGAACATTCGAATTTTCGGAAATCCTGAAGTTTACAAAAACTCTCAACTTGATTTTTTGGATTTTCAGGTTTATTTGACATTAACTTACTTTAAAATATAATCATCGTTGCGTTTCCCAGAAATTTTCATAAAAATCAAAAAGAATAGACTGCCAAAATCAGACGGCTGTCACTAGAACAGAATAGAAGTTCTCAAAAAATCAGAAAAAGGTCTCCTAAATCAGATAGTGACCAATGGAAATAGAATAGAATGACGCATACTCGCATGTGGTCGTCAGGTCAGCCGCGACGCGACACGCAGCGCGTATGAAAGTACTGTTATGAGTATCATAAAAGGTGTGAAATGGGGTCTCCTATTACAACGTGTGAGACGCAAAGACGCAGACATGATGGTTACTGCAAATGTATGGGATAGGGGGTTGTAATGGACGCAGGGATCGACCAAACTTTCTGAATTTCCGAAACCATGACTTTTGGGAAGATTTTGAAGTATTCTAGGTTTCAGAAATTTCAGAACTACTTTGAAACCCATGATGTTATATTATAATTCTTTGATGATGTTTAAGTTTTCAAGTATTATTTTTTAAACATTTATTTAGAACGAAAAACACAGAGAAGAAAAATCTACATGCTTCAAATTTCCTCCACCCAGCTTTCCTGACTTTTCTTGGTCGTTTGATGGCTTCCTCATAGAAACTCTCATCCGCTTTACGTTTTTACAATTATTGATTTTTTTTAAATACCCGCCTGTTTGCCGCGTCTCCGGCGCTTCAAATGTGTGGCTGGTGCGCTTACGACGTGTGTTCGTCGTTCAATGTATTTCTCTTGGAAAGTTTAAGTCAAACTGCTGCACAATAGTTATGAAATGAAAACAAAAACAAACATATTTATTCAAAACAATAAGTGATACGGTCTGAATGTTTATTTTCCTTCTTATTGGCTATTTTGTTGATCAGTGACAATTCCTTCAGCATATTCAGACTCCCGCTTTTTCCTTCTTCCAAAAATACTTCCACAACTGGCCAGATTTGGGGCTCATAGGCTTCAATCATTTCCAAGTAAAACAATCTTCGGAATTGCGCCCATGGAGTGTCGGAGTGTCGGAGATCATCAAGTTTTCGACTCAAAAATTGAGGGCCATCTGGTTACATTTCTCCATATCGAAGCTGTCTGACGATGTGAGCTCTAGATCCGACCAGTATTGCAGACGTTTATTTTCTGAAATTTGATTGTGTTCCTCGCAATAATTGAAATGCTCGATTTAGCTTGCCATCATTCACATCTGCCACAAATTCTCTTGTTTGTTGTTGTACTCTGCTGACAATGTCTTCAGGAATCGCTCGAAGTTCCGTGGGGTAATCAATATTTTGTATGTCAGTAACTGAAAACGTTTACAATTAATATTCGCTGTGAGAGGAAATAAAAAACTCACCAACACAATACTCTTCATCAAAATTTTCAAACTCATAGAGATCTTCCAATGATTCGATTGCTGGTTTTTGTGATAAACAAATCACGACTATATCAACTTACTCCATCATCCTCGCGTTTCTCAGAAATTTGAAACATAAATTTTATAAAAATCAAAAATAATAGACTGCCAAAATCAGACGGCTGTCACTAGAACAGAATATAGAAGTTCTCGGAAAATCAAAAAAAGGTCTCCTAAATCAGATGGTGACCAATGGAAATAGAATAGAATGACGCATACTCGCATGTGGTCGTCGGGTCAGCCGCGACGCGACACGCAACGCGTATAAAAAACGGTCATAGGTATCATTAAAGTGTGAACAGGGGCTCTTATTACAACGTGTGAGACGCAGAGACGCAGACATGATGGTTACTGCATAAGTATGGGATAGGGGGTTGTAATGGACACAGGAATCAGCTTGGACCGAACAAAAAGGACAATTCGACTTCAGTTGTCTAAAAAAATATATAGTTATTGTTAGTCTGTCTGAAACTTTTATAGATTGGAAGAATTTTTGAACTTCCAGAATCACGAAATTCAGAATTCGCTTAGAATCCTTGGTATTTGAATTCTATCATTTCAACGGTTTCAAGCTCGAATATGAAACAAAAATTTATTTTTTGAAAATTAGAAACGATTTCATAAACATTTTATCAGAATATCCGGAACAATGAAAAAAGGAATTAATTAAGTTGTATTCCTTCATTTGCTTGATAATCTTCTTTTTGCATTTCCAAGCACATTGGAGAGCTCCGTACATTGGATACATTCTTTTTCTTTTCTTCCTGGTTATCATCCGTCCACTTCACATGGTATAGTCCTTCAGGCATTGCTTTGCATGCGGTTTCGTGAATCATATCCGTCACGACATGGATCCGGAAATTGAATACTTTAAACTCGGAAAAATGCCTTCAGGATTAGGAACGGTGATCTCTCTGAAAAACAAATTTTACTAAAACCTCAAAAAAATTCAAACTGATTTTCAAAGACTTGCTAAATGAAAGAATGTGTCTCCACTAATCATTAATATTTCTTGCAAATCAGTGAATTGATAATAAGACTAATCTACTAACCGAGCTCCTTCAAGACTTTTGAAAAAGAGGCGGAAGTCCAATTTTTTTTTTGAATTGCTCTTGAACCGAATTTCTTCTCTGAGGAGAACTGCGACTTCTGATACTTCGATATAGTTGATTGGAGCAGGCCAGTTTTCGGCCCTAGTCATCTCGGCAACGTCTCTGGTGAATGGGTTGTGAGTACCCATATCATATACGTCACCACATGGACACACTGAAAGTTTTTTTTTTGAGATATATTTTTGTCTTTGAAAGTTTGTTGTATTTTTCGGAATTTTCAAGTTTCAGAAATTTCACTAATTGCTGATTTTCTGAAAATTATTCAAAAATTTGAATAAGTTCAATATTTTTTTCGTAAATTTTCGAATTTTTTGGAATTTTCAAATTTCTTAAATTTCTGATTTCCCAAATGTTTGATTTTCAGATTTCCTATATTTTTTTATCATCACTACATCTACTTACTTTGTCATCCTTGCGTGCATATAGAAATTGAAGAAAATCGGAAAAAGGTCTCCTAAATCAGATGGTGACCAATGGAAATAGAATAGAATGACGCATACTCGCAGGTGTCCGTCGGGGCAGCCGCGACGCGACACGCAACGCATATAAAAACGGTCATGGTATCGTTAATGATGGGAGAGGAGCTCATGGTTCGAAGTGTGAAATGCAGAGAGACGCAGACATGACAGATCATAAGTAGGGATGAGGAGTTGTAATAGACGCAGGAATTGACAAAAAATTCTGAACTTCCAAAACGAAGATTGGGGAATTTTTTAAAATTGGTGAGATTTGAAGTGTTAAATTTCAAATTTGGAAATTTTAGAAAAAAATATGGTTTATTTTTTGAAAATTAGAAACAATGACATAAAAAACAGTGCGAATGATTGCATCAAAGTGCTGGTTCCAGATGTAGACGGCTGATTCTGTAAAATAGAACATTATTATCATTTTCTAAATTTTCAAAGCTGCTCACCTGATCGTCATAATCCTCCATCTCAACGATCTCCTTGGCAAGAGCACGCAGTTGCATTTGTGATGAATACTTGACTTCTCTCCGGTGTCGAATTGAAGATGATGGTCCATCCAATTTTCACGAGTATCAGCAATTTCACTTGGATGAAGCGGGTCTCGATTCGAAATGACATATTGGTTGGTTTCTCAGGATAGAAATCGACAAAGAAAAGACTTGTCTTGAACACTTCCGATTACTCTTCTACGTGCTTTTTGAAATCTTCTTCTCTAACTCCTTCCTCTCTTTCGTCCAAGTAGACTTTCAACATATCGGGCCAAAGTCCGTTTTCATAGAACAGACGATCCGCCAAATGAGCGACTGTTTCATTCTCCTCGACGCTTATCTTTTGGGGCTGGTAGATAGTCGTCCCTTCTGTCCTCGCTGTCTCAGTTGCATCTTGACACCACTCCGAGTCGCCGGATGCCCAAAAAGCAAATAGTCGTCTCCTTTCCGTGGTGTGCTCATATAGTCGAAACACCTCCAGAATCCAATGGATCTAGCGTAATCCCAGTAGGCAGCAACCAGTTTCTTGTAAATCTCGCTTCTGAATTGCGGCGGAGAACATCTTTGGTTGGTGTTGAGGGGACCATTATCCACGTATCCTCTGACCATCATAGATAACATCAGCATGCTTTTCAGGGCCGTTAGACAACTGATAGGCACCAATGTGTTTGTAAACGAACGGATGGCTTGAGTCAATGTTGAGTTTGTTGAACCGGTCCGTTAGAGGTCCTTCTGGAACAATCAGTTTTTGTCATTTTAGACTTTTAATTTCATATTTGTTTTTCTAATTTTTTGAATTTTCGTTATTTTTTTTTAATTTATAAACTTCCAAGATGTTTCAGAGTTTTTTTTTTTAGTTCCTGATTTTTCGAAATTTTAAGTTTTAAAAAAATTGTTTAAAAACCTAAACTTCTTAAAGTTTTGAAATGCTCAAGTTTAAATCATTCGAAGTTTGAAAATATTCAATTTTTGGAAGAATATGATTTTTTTTTTTTGAATATCCTTAAGCCTCTAATTTTCCAGATATTCCTTTTTTTGGAAATTCTCAAAAGTGAAAAAAATCTGAAATTCTTGAACTTTAATGTTTTGGATTTTCAGGTCTTTTTATTTTTTTAAACTTATTACATTAACTTACTTTGAAATAATTTTTCATCATCAATAAATTTTATAAAAATCAAAAATAATAGACTGCCAAAATCAGACGGCTGTCACTAGAACAGAATATAGAAGTTCTCAAAAAATAAAAAGAAGGCCTCCTAAATCAGATGGAGGCCAATGGAAATAGAATAGAATGATGCATACTCGCATGTGTTCGTTGGGTCAGCCGCTACGCGACACGCAACGCGTATGAAAGTACTGTTACGGGTATCATTAAAGTGTGAACAGGGGCTCTTATTACAACGTGTGAGATGAAGAGACGCAGACATGATGGTTACTGCATAAGTATGGGATAGGGGGTGGTAATGGAAGCAGAAATAGGCTTGGAATGATCAAAAAGAAAACTTTGGATGTCGAAATAAGTACTTAGTACTTGTCAATTTGGCCTGAAAATTTTATAGATTGGAAGTCAAACACGGAACTCTATTTTCGTAGTTGACAAGTTCTGGTGCACTCACCTTCTATATTCAAAAAAATTGTTACTATTTTTCCTTCATATTTTAGTATTCTTCTTTGATTGAAAGAACTAGAATTGAAAAAATGATTTTTGTTCTTACTGATTTTCAATTTATCGTTTTGAATTTTTTTGCCGTTTCGAGCAGTATTTATTTCGCCGTTTTAAGTTGTTTGAAGTAGTCATTGTGGAAAAGCAGAAATTTAATTTTCATTAACCATTACATAATCTTTCATCCTAAACAAAATAATTTATAGAATTCCAATTGAAATCCTCCAGATTTTGATCACGTGGAAACATTGTGAAGCAGTAAACGTTTATCTATCTTCCCTTCTATTATAGTTTCGACGACATATCCAGGAAATGAGATTTTTCGAAACAGATCATCAATGTTATTTAGTATCCCATCCTCTGCATATACGATTCAGAAGATAAAATCGAAAATCGTTAATTTCTTTTTTTCAGCTTATTTTTTCCTTATTTTCAGTCTGAGACATCAGCAGGAACGCTGCAAATGATCATGTATCTCGTGTGTCATCTCACTGCATGAATTGTCCCCAGGCCCCAGGCCCCAGGCCCCAGGCCCCAGGCCCCAGGCCCCAGGCCCAGAATACCATGGGCATGAAGCGCTCGGTAGTCCATGACTACATACTACATACCACTATAGGAGTCTCATGTCCCTTTGAGTTATTCAAGTAAAAGTCCGAGACACACAGACACACACAGACAGACAGAAAAGTTTCCTTACTAGTTAGTAAGAAATAGATAGCAACAAAAATATGTTTGGTCAAAGTTGACAGTTTAGGAGACACTATTATGGGATTGTATTCTTGAAGATCGGGAATTGGAATTGTGCTGGTATTAGATGATGCCTGATGGATCTCCCAGACGTTAATTTTTGATACCTGAAATACATAACAGAACACAGTCGTCTAGATAGTTACAAGTTTATTGTATACGAAAGATTTAAATACGATGAAATACCATGCAAGATTAAAGAGAATAGAGAATAAAGGAATACAATTAAATCAGGAATCCCAAACAGTCAGTGGTGGATCGATTTTGAATAACTTGATGGCTGTGATCGAATCGAACTGTTGAGCATTTCTTTTTTACGAGTACTTCTTCTGGTTTCGGCGACTATCATGGACTTCATGTTGATACCAACAGCCAAGCTAAAATTTTTATTGTATTTTCAAGTTTTTGTCGGAGCCGATGGTTGCGTAAGCACAATACTCTTTGACCTCTATTATCTCGGTTTCTGGAAGAGATATCGAGAAGTTGTTCACTGATAAAATGTTAGTGATATGACGGTCAAAATTTAATTAGTCGGCAGATTTTCGATATCTCTAATAGGAAGCAAGATAATTGAGCTCAAAGTTCAAGAATGAACTCATATTCTCACAAACCTCCCCTCGGCGCATACACCGGTACATCCCAAGGCTCAACGAGAAGAGATGATGGCAATGTTTCATTGAGCCAGTTGGACACAAACCCCATATTTCACCAATCTGAGCCACGGATGAAGTGGCGAAAACAAACTTGGTATGGTAGACGCGCTGCGATGGATGCAAGAGACGTTGAGGGCGCTCGATTGTCGAATAATTTGGGGACCACGGCTGGAAGAAACAATGAATTTAGACAATTTTTTGTGAATTTTTGAAATTCTAAATGTAAGCTGAGAGAATTTAGTTAGGTAAACTGCAAGTGGAAACTTCCAGTGCCCAGAAAAAAGTGAAATTTTGAATTGCTTTCACACATAGTGTTGTATAGAAAAATAATCTCAATTTCTTAAAAATTCGAAATTTTGAAGTTTCCCATAATAGTGTCTCCTAAACTGTCAACTTTGACCGAACATATTTTTGTTGCTATAATACATAGAAAAAGCGAAAATTTCAATTTTTTACAAGCAACAACAAACACAACTTACTTTGAAAAAAACTTTTATTGTCCTTGCTCGGAAATAAATTTCATAAAAATCAAGAAGAATAGACCCCCAAAATCAGACGGCGGTCAGTAGAATATAATATAGAAGTTCTCAAAAAATCAGAAAAAGAAGGCCTCCTAAATCAGATGGTGACCGATGGAAATAGAATAGAATGACGCATACTCGCAGGTGTTCGTCGGGTCAGCCGCGACGCGACACGTAACGCGTATAAAAAACGATCACAGGTATCATTAAAGTGTGAATAGGGGACTCATGGGACAAATCGAGCAGAGACGCAGATATGAATAGGGATAGGGGGAGTGTAATGGGAGCAGGAATAGGCAACGTTTTGGAATGAACAAAAAGAAAAAATAAACTTTGCTTGTATGAATAAGTAGTTAGTACTTGTCAGTTTGATCTGAAAATTCAGGGATTAGAAGACAATTCTTTTTTGACAACATTATGTGCAATGATTTGCTGAGACTCATTGAAAAAAAGAGAAAGATCTTGAAAAATTGAAAAAAAACAGCAAAAATTGCATGTAGATATTCGATTTGCAATCTCTAAAATTTTTCAATAAGTTCAATAACTTTTGAAGCAAAAATAATTTTTTTTTCGAATTATCAAAGTTCGCTGAAAATATGTTATTATAAGAATCGAATTTTCAGAATCTCTGAAAATATGTTATTATCAGAAAAATCGATTATATAATAGATTTTTTCATAGCCACTCTCTTATTAGAGACGTCAAATCAATCGAACATTCAGAATCTCTATGAATCAGCAACTTTTTGAAAAGGTATTTTCAATGAAAAGTGGGATTAAGTAGATTTTGATGCGTTTTCTTTTTTAGATGATGTATTTCTTTATAAAGGAATTCTTGAAGAATGGTCATTCTGAAGTTGAGTTCTACATGTGTTTGGTATTTATTCTCTGAGCGTTTCAAACTAAATGGACAGTAGGTCATTTCAACTAAAATGATTATTCTGAATTTTTCAGAATCGAAAAAAGAAATGTACCTTATATGTACATACCGTAAAACCTGTATTAGAAGGGCCCGTCTAATTGATTACTTCGCTACAAAAAATCAGGTCTGCGGATTTACTCAAATACATATCGGTTGATGAACTACGAAAAGAATGCATTTTTCAAAGATTGTTCAAAATCGATTAAAAGCATTTTGGAGTATATTGGAATCATTTATACATAGTGTGGAAAATTGGTCATTGAAGTGTGTTAGAAAATAAACAAAATTGAACACTTCATAGAAAAAAGTTTGCGACTAACGTGGTTAGGGAGATAAAAAAAAGATATGTTGAACAACTTTAAAATAAAGTTAGAACTGCATACGAAGTCCATTTTGCTGGTAAGGGGGAATCTTGCTCAGACGAGATGAGCCCATTTTCCGCATTCGACGCACTTGAACTTGTGCTCCTCAACATGATTATCGTGACGGTGGAAGGTTCAGCGAACATCAAAGTTTCTTCTGGATGTTTCCTTTTCAACGACGGTCTCTTTTAAATGTTTTCGACAGTAAACATCTCCACCTGACTTTTCATTTTCCCATTGTTCATGGTATAGTTCTCCTTCTCTTATGCGGCACGATTCCTCCCCGGCACACCCGGACCGAACTTGTTAGCCAACTTGCCCAGATGGTAATCGATAATCTTCATTATCTGAAAAAAACACATTATCCTATTTATTCTAATACAGTGTGCCTCTACTAGTCAACCAAAATTTACAAATATTTCAATTTTTCGGAAATTCTGAATTCTACAAAAAATTGAAAAAAAATCAATTTCTTGGAAATTTCCAAATTCTGAAGTTTCAATTTGTTTTTATTTTAGATTTTAGATTCAAAAACATATGACATTAACTTACTTTGAAATAACTGTCGTCATCTTCGCAAAAATTTCATAAAAATCAGAAAGAATAGACCCCCAAAATCAGACGGCAGTCAGTAGAGTAGAATATAGAAGTTTTCGAAAAATCAGAAGAAGGCCTCCTAAATCAGATGGTGACCAATGGAAATCGAATAGAATGACGCATACTCGCAGGTGTTCGTCGGGTCAGCCGCGACGCGACACGCGACGCCTGGAAAAGTACTGTTATGGTGTGAAAAGAGGGATCATGTTCCCAAGAGAGCAGAGACGCAGACATGGTGGTTACTGCATAAGTAGGGATATGGGGTTGTAATGGAAGAAGGATCCTTGGAAAGACCAAAAAGAAAAAGGCAGCTTTGGGTGTCTGAATAAGGGCTTAGTACTTGTCAGTTTGATCTGAAAATTTCAGAGATTAGAAGTCAGAGTCTGCCGTGGATCAATCAAAATCGCCTAAAAAGGGAAATTTCGTAAACTTTTGAAGCAGGAGAAATGTTTTTTATATAAAAAGCTCGAAGTCCATTAAATATGTTGAATCCCTTTCAATTAAAAACAGCAAACAACACAAAAATTCAACATCTCTATGAAACAGGTTTTTCCAGGAAATAATTTCAAGGTAAAATTGGAATTAGCAGGTTTTTTTTCATCTTCTCTGAAATTGAACGAAGAAGTGTTATGCAGCCATTAAAACATCCAAGGTTATTTTTCTTTTTTTTTCCAGTGAAGACTGCTAGAAAAAAATTAGAAATATTTCGGTTTCCTGTAATTTTTAGAAAATAGAAATGAATGAAAAATTATTCTATTTTCAAGTGTTTTTGCAAGGTTGATGTTACTGTTTCTTTTAAGTATCAAAAGTAATATATGAATTGTTCTTGATAATTCATTGTTTTCAAAACTTTCATAAATTTAGAGGTTTCAAAAATTAACATCCTAATAATTGTAAAGCACTCATACTCAAAATAAATAGAAAATCCCGTTTATTCAAACAATGACAGGTTTAAACAGACAACAAGTCAAAAACAAATCAAGAAAAAAACAAATCAAGCCTCCACGTGATCATTATGTCCATGAAGAATATTAATGAGACGATTGAGATGTAAGGTGAGATGAAGCATAACATCATTCGGTATCCTTCCAACACCTGCAGGAATCATTGGAGGATTGATGGTTACTGTAGAATTTGATTCAACGGAGAATCTTCGAAGATGGACAACTCCAGGACGTCCTTGATTTCGAACCATATGGTACACACCGTATCCATCAAGCTCGTACATTGCAAGATGATCTAGGTCGTGTGCATCGTCGATGAATTGGGCGGCCCAGTTCATGACGTCAGCGGCCTGGAAAAGAATGAATTATTTTGAGGTCATAATGGTTTCGATTTTTAAAAAATTTAGAAAAAAATGGACCTTATACGTTACGTTAACTTTGAGCTCAATTATCTCGTTTCCTAGGAGCGATGCAAAAAATCGGTCAACTGATAAATGTTATTCATAATATCACTAACATTTTATCAGTTGACAGATTATTGATATCTCTTCCAGAAATTGAGATAACTGTGCTAAAAATGTACGTACAGGGTCTTTGATTAGAGCAAATACGGTCAGTATTGGTATTTTCATTGATATTTTCAGTATTGTCAAAATTTTTTGGAAACTTTTCGAAACTGTATAACTTTTGGAATAAAGATCATCACAAGTTTATCTTTAAGAAAATTAAAGATAGACTCTCTTGAGCTGGAAATAGTAAACAAATATTTATATTTCAGAGTTTTAATTGCCCCCTATTTGCTCTAATAAACGACAGCTCTACACTTACAGGTTAAGCTCAATTATCTTGGTTCCTATAAGAGATATCAAAAATCTGTCAATTGATAAAATATTTATCATAAAACCAACAATATTTTATCAGTTGACATATTTTCGATATCTCTTATAAAAAGCGATATATTTGAGCTTGAAATCATACATAGGGTGGGCTTCTTTTTTAGCAAATACGGAAAAAAATTGAGACGTCGGTGAATAGTATTTACAATTATTCCGTACCTTTTTTGACAACTTTTTGAAACTGTGAAACGTTTAAAAACACTTACCGACCACCTGGTAAAATTGTTGGTTAACCCATTTGGAAGTAGCACATTTGGAGCGGCTGGCTTAAAATTACATGACTACTCCATTATAATCTTCTAGAACTCTTACCTCTTCGGCCTCGAACTTTGAAGGTGTCCACTGTCCGTTTGCACTTTTTTGAATGTACATTTCAATTGGTCCAGTTGTAATTTGATAAAGTTGCTTATTTGGAACCAATTTGTGATTTAACAACCGGCAACGAAGGATTTGTTTGACAGGTGGAGGTGGTGGGGGTGGAGGAAGTGGTGGAGCTCTTCCGAATTGAGCTTGAACTCGGTCCACGGCTAGTTCTAAAGCAACTACACGAACGCGTTCATCGACGTGTTGAGCACGGTGGCGATTCGCTTCAATGATTTCTTGTCGTAGTCGTTCTCTTTCTCGATTCCATTCTGCGCGGATTTCGTCAAGTTCTTGTCGTACATTGGCGATGTCCATTGATCTGAAATGAAAAGAATTTGGTAATATTATGAAAACTTGAGCTCAATTATCTCAATTTTCGTAAGTGATATCAAAAATCTGTCAACTGATAAAATGTTTTTCATAATATCGTCTGAATTATTATCGTTTACATTTATTTGATATCTTCACAGAAAATTAGATAATTGAGCTGAAAGTGCAGGTGAAAGTAATCTGCAACATTATCAGATTTTCAAAACAGTAACTAAATTTAGAACAGAGGGTGGTTCCTTTCATAGACCTTGTTTGACAATATATAAATTTGAAGCGCTTATCAAAATGTATCATACAATATTTCCTTTTGCAAAGAAGAAATATCGAAACTGTAAAAAAAGGAATGGTCCGGTAGACCGTTTGAAAGTATACACTATATAAAGAACCGAACTTCTAACTTTGACCTCAGTTATCTCGATTCCTATGAAAGATACCTGAAATTTGTCAACAGATAAAATGTTGGTTATTTTATGATAAACATTTGAACAGTTGACCTTATTTTGATAACTTTTGAAAGAACCAAAATAAAATCTCAAATTGCACACGGTTGTGGCACCCTGAACATCAACTTTGAGCTTGATTATCTCTCTTCTTATGAGAGATATCGAAAAGTGGTCAACTGATAAATTAATTTTCACATTCTGAGGAACATTTTATCAGTTGACAATTTTTTAGTATCGTTTATAAGAACTGAGATAATTGAGCTCAAAGTTGATATTAGAGGAAAACTATCCATTTCGAGCCGAGTTTTCTCGGCTCCGGTGAAAGATATCAAAAAAGTTTGTGCTGATAAAATATTTTTTGGTATATGATGAACATTTTATCAGTTGGACATTTTTCGATATCTTCTAGAAGAACCGAGATAAATTGGCTCATAGTTTAAAGTGAGCATGGTGCAAATTAAAAAATTGAACTATGGAAAAATCAATAAATAGAAAAAGACCCCTATTAATCAAACGATGGTCAGGAGCATAGAATACAGTCCTCTCTAATGGGGCCTAGTTCTTTTTCGTCGACCGCGACGCGTGACGCGTCGCGCGAGAAAAGAGAAATAGACGAACAGACAAACACCCACTGCAGGGTAATTGAATATATTGTCGAAATCAACCTTTATTGGTGTGGTCTGAAAAAATGAGGGCCGTGGAAGAGAAAAATAGTCAGGCCACGAATTGGTGACCGTAACCATGTGCCTTTAAGATTTGGTTTTTTTTGGAAGCGATTTTTTTTCAAAATTTCCGGTTTTTCAGAAATTTTTAATGAACCAATTTTATATGAATCCATGCTCATTTTGATTACTGTAGCTCAATTTTTATCGCCAGTTTTTCTCGATTTTATGGAAAAAAAGTTCTACAGTAATATCCGAAAATGAAAAAAAAAGCGAAATCTACATGCGCCTTTAAACCATTTTCCGTATATTTTCTCAAAATTTCAAGGATTTTTATCGAAAAGTTGAAAAATAGACGAAATACGCTATTTTGGGATTACTGCAGAACAAATTTCAGCTATTCTTTTGTAATTTTTCTCAATTTTCGGGCTATTTTCAGTCTGAAAATTGAGAAAAATAAGCTTTTTCAAATTTTCAGTTTTTCTTCCCTAAACTCCAAAAAAAACGCAAACTTTTTCAAAAATTCAATCCGATAATATAATATTTAAAATAATAAAAAAAACGACACAAAAAAAGAGTATGGATAGAGAGATAACAAGCTTAAAGGAGGATGGATGGGGGATCGATTTGATAAAAATTGAATGAATTCAAAGATAAAACATTTTACAAAAATCAAAAAAATTGGGAATATATATAGAGAATTTCGTGTGTGTGGGAGTATGGGTATTTTCGTTGTGTGGTGAAGATGCCTAGAAAAAAGAGAAAAAACCGATTTTTGAAATTTTTAAAAAAGCACTTGAAGGGGAGGATTTGGCTTAGAAAATGTGAAGCAAATTTTTGCAACATTGACAATTATGAATCAATTTTTAAGAAAACAATTTCAGCTATAAAATTTTTGGCTGAAAATGAGAAGGATAAGAAGAAAAAGTGGTCGCATCACAGTGAGAGGTTCAGGGATTTATGGATGGATTTATCGACTTTTGTGCGAATAACAAAAGGAGAGAGAATTAAAGATGTCTAGAGAACGATGCACTTATTCTTCTTGGCCCGTTGTGGAGGTGTCAGAACGGCTCGGATGGCCTCATCGAAGACTTGTTTTAGGCCACGTTGTGTTAGCGCCGAGCACTCCAGATATTTGACTGCCTTGATTTCTTTGGCCATCACGTATCCTTGAGTCTGGCTGACGGGTTGGAGGCGTCGTTCGCGGAGTCTGGAAAATTTTCATAATTTTGGCTTAAAACGGAGCAAATTTCAATGGTGACCGAGTTTTGGATATTTCTAGGCCACCGGTTTTACAAGGCCAAGCTTTGGATTTTTAAGCTGTTGAAGGTGTTTCTAGGCCACACTAACCAGATTCTCAGCAGAGCAGCAAAGGTCCCAGGACGAAAACTACCGTACCTGCCCAAAATTCACTGATGGCCGAATTCCGGCTATTTCTAGGCCACCGGCTACATTTATGGCTTGGAATGAAGCTCTGTCAGGTCATAGGCCCCACCTGATGGAAAATATTTGTCTCAAAGACTGAAAATTAGGGCCGCAGGCTATATGAGCCTCTAGAATGCAGGCTAAAAACTCACGGCCTATTCGTCGGAAATTAAAAAAAAACGGAAAAATCGTTTGAAAGTACATGACGATTACGGTATTCGCTTTCCAACGCCTCTCCTTAAAGGATTACTGTAGAATTTTGGCTGAAAATGGAGCAAATTTCCCTGGTGTTCGAATTTTTGATAATTTCAGGCCACCGGTTACATTTTCTGTTAAATGGGCGAGAAAAAAACAAAAAAAAATTGAGCTACAGTAATCAAAAGTGCGTAGATTTATGAAAAACTTTCATTGGATTACTGTAACTCAACTTCTTCTGCTGAGTTTCTTCTCTTTTTTCCAATAATCAAAATCGAAGTGAATTTGAGAAAAAGCGAAAATGCATCTACAGTAATTCTTAAACGAGCAGCGTTGAAAAGTGAAAACCGTACTCTTTTAGCGCCTTTAAACTATTTTAGCCTAGTTTTTTCAACTTTTCAATGATTAACAGTAATCAAAGGAGCGTAGATTTATGAAAAAAAAAACACAAACCTCTCAACGGTATCGCGATCCTCTCTCAAATCGGCTTTGGTTCCAACCAAAATGATTGGTGTATTGGGACAATGATGCGACACTTCTGGATACCATTTCGCACGAACATTCTCGAAACTCGCTGGATTGTTCAGGGCGAAGCACACTAAGAATACATCGGTTTGTGGGTAGGAAAGGGGGCGGAGTCTGGAAAAGAAGGGGCGGGGTTTAGTGGGTTCTTTGAATAAAAGCGTACCGATCGTAGTCTTCCTGTCCAGCTGTATCCCATAGACCAAGGTTTATGGGCCGTCCGTCGACCATCACGTTTGCTGAGTAGTTGTCGAACACCTGGAAAATTTCAAATTTTCGCAAAAAAAGCCACATCTAAACGGTCAAATTTGAGCTCAATTATCTCGATTTCTGTAGAAAATATCAAAAATTTGTCAACTGATAAAATGTTGCTGATATTATGATAAACATTTTGTCAGTTGACAAATTTTTGATATCTTCTACAGAAATTGAGATAATTGAGCTTAAAGTTGACTGTTCGGGTGGGCTTCGAAATTCTGTTTCTTTTTTCAAAAATTAACAAAATTTTTCAGATTTTCAGTGCATTCTGAAATCAACAGAATTTATATTTTTTCCGGGAAAATTCGATTTTTCTCAGAAAATTTCAAAACTTCTAAATTTTCGATTTTTCGAGATTTTTCAAATTTTTAGTTTTTTTCGAAAACTTCCAGAATTTCAGCCATTTTCAGACTCACTTACCGTTGGAATGTACTCTCCGGGAAACGCGTTCGTTGTATAGGAGATGAGAAGACACGTCTTACCGACGGCTCCGTCACCGACGACGACACATTTGATGGCTTGCATCTGAAGGAGGGGAGGCGCTAAGCACTACTACCTGCTGGAAAATTTGAAATTTAGGATTTTAAAAATAGCCAGTAAAAGTCAAAAAATTGGGAAAAATATTCTAAAAAATCTAGAAATAAATGTCCTAGAAACTCTAAAAAAGTCTAAAAAATGCAAAAAAATAGATACAAAACCGCTGCTCAAAACGGCTTAAAAATAGCGAAAAACTTCAAAAAAAAAGGAAAATTTGAAATTTCAGTGTCTTTTTCTTAAATTAGGTAATTGATTTTTGGGCAGAGAGATGTGGGGGCAATTAAGGGTAATTAGGAGCATAATTACATGGAGAAAATGGATAAAACCTGAAAAAACGGCGGAGGAAAAAGTGATCAACACTAAAAAACAGTGAAAAAATGGGGGAAAAGAGCGGGAAAAAGAGGAGGGGGCGAGAGAGTGTGGAAAGCGAGGGGACGCAGAGAAGTCCCCAATTTTTTTCGATTAATTCCAGCGGCGTCTCCGGGGAAAAGGACTGCAAAGTTTGCAGAAAAAGAACATAAAAATGGGAAAATCTAGGCGAAAAAATAGAGAAAAGGAAGAAAAATCTGGCTAGAAAGGAAAGGAAAGAGTTTCACAACACACGCAAGGATCACAGGGAGCAGCAGAATTCTTTAAAATTTGAATTAAAATTTAAAAAAAAGAAGAGAAAAATGACGAAAAAGAGGGACTAAATGAGAGAAAAAGAGAGCCGTAATTTTTGTGTCTTTAAACCTTTAAAAAAATTAAAAAATCTAAAAAAAAAATTAGATCGGAAGACCCGCTGTTCTTCGGCACTTTTGCATGGTGGCTCGATGGATGAATTGCTCACGGGAGACGTCACGAACGCGGCGGAGGTAGTCGGCAGTTGTGATTTGACGCTTTTTGAGGGATTGACCTGGAAGAAAATGAGAAAAATTAGTGAAAAATTGAGAAAAATCGGCTGAAAATGAAGCGAATTTCACTGGTGGCCGAGTTTTGGCTATTTCTAGGCCACCAGCGACAGTTATTGGTAAGATGAGCGAGATTTGGACTTCTAGGTCATGTCGGGTGTTTTCTAGATCACACTAACTAGATTTTCAGCACAGAATTCACTGGTGGCCGAGTTTATATTTTTCTAGTCCACTGGTTACATTTTTGGTTGAATTGCAGAGATTTGGATTTCTAGGCCACGGAAAATCAAAAACTACCGCAACTAGCCAAGCTCCACTGGTGGCCGAACTTTGGCATTTTCTAGGCCATCTGTTACATTTCTGGTTTTATGGCCGAGATTTAGATTTATAGGCCATGGAAGATGATTTCTAGGCTACAGATTTTCAGTGAGAAGCCGACCAGCGAAGGTCAGACAACGAAAACTACAGTCAATGACAAAATTTCACTGGTGGCCGAGTTTTGACCATTTCTAGGCCACCGGTAACAATTTTTGGTCTATGGCCGAGATTTAGATTTCTAGGCCATGGAAGGGATTTCTAGACCAAAAACTAATGTAACCGACCAAACTTCACTGGTGGCCGAGTTTTGGCTTTTTCTAGGTCATCTGCTACATATTTGGTTATACGAGGCCGAGTTTTGGATTCCTAGGCCATGTCAGGTGTTTTCTAGGTCACAATAACTAGATTTTCCGCAGAGAAGCGAAGGTCCCACAGCCACTGATTACAATCTGGCTAATATGGCCGAGATTCGGACTTTTCTAGACCATGGTGGGTGTTTTCCAGGCCACTAGACTTTCAGTGAGAAGCCGACCAGCGAAGGTCGCCCAACGAAAACTACAGTAATTGACAAAATTATACTGGTGGCCGAGTTTCGGCTATTTCCAGGCCATTAACTTCTGGATTTCAAAGACATTTCTGACGGTTTCTAGACCAAAAAGCAACTTACCTAGTGCATAAATCAAATCATCGCAAGCCAAATCCTTTGCATAATTCATCACAATCTGTCTATGCAATGGATACGCGGCATCGATAGCCTCATCGATAGGCGGAGCATCTGTCCCTCCGGCGTCTGATAGCGCCTTCGCTAGCTCCGTTTTCTTGGCCGAGTATATTTCGACGGCCGTCTGAAGACTGTTTCTTTGCGTCTCCAACTCTTCAAGCATCTTTTTCAGCTTTTGTTGTCCCTCGCGAAGCTCATCTCCAGTCGTTCGAATTGATGCCATTTCAGCGCTATTGGTTCCTGGAAAATTGGAAATTATTGTTTATTCGAAACAATCGCGTGAGTGAATGAGTGAAAATGTCTGCGTCTCTACAGCGCCTCTACAGGTTTTGATACTTTCTACATGTTTTTTTACTCGTTCATCCGCACGATTATTTTGAATAGACAATACTATTATTTTTGTCCCTAGAAACCCAAATTTTGAGAAATCTAGGCCGCCCATCCAATTCTCAATGGAGCACACTTACCCAATCGCTCCCTGAGTCTTGCTCTGAGCCGTTCCTCGACCGCAGTCATCACTGACGCTCGAATCGTATCCGATTGAATTGATCCGTTTCCACTGCCCACTGATGATTGGGATGATACTGGAGGTGGACGGGGTGGAGCTGCACCGGATCCAGAAGGATATGGAGTTGCTCCGGCTCCCATTGGATACGGTGTATTTTGAGGGACGTTCATGTAGGGGCTGGAAATATTGTCATTGAAGCGAACTTGCTAAAACCGGGAAGTTGTCAATAGAGCGCACTCACTTATAGCCCATAGCACCTGCCGATGGATACGGTGCTCCTCCAGATGGATACGGTGTTGCTCCGGATCCAGTTGGGTATGGTGTCGGCATGGCTGGCTGGGAGGATGGGTACGGTGTTGGAGTGGGTGTCGACGTGGCAGATGAGCCGGCGGATGGCGTGGCGGCTGAGGAGGCGTTGGAGGCGGAGCGAGCAAACACGGGACACTTCTCTTGGAACACCATTGCCATCACGTGAAAAAAATAAGAGATTAGATTGGTGGATCCGAGGTTTTGCAGAGTTTAGGGATTCTAGGCCACTGACCTAGGATTCTCCAAATTCGGGTTTCTAGGCCACTAAATCGACGATGGCCTAGGAATCCAAAACTAGGTCAAATTAGGTAATTTGGGTTTCTAGGCCATCCCGATTTGGTTTTCCAGGCCACAGATAATAAAGCGGTAAGAGGTGGCCTAGATTTCTTAAAATTGAGGTTTCTAGGCCACCAAAAATTAGAGTGTCTGGAGATGGTCTAGATTTTTCGAAATTTGGATTTTTAGGCCACCAAATCTGAGATGGCCTAGAAACCCAAACATTGGCCTATTTTGAGTTTCTAGGCCAGCTAATTTTCGGTTCATGTTTTAAGGACTTTCCTGACCTAGGTTTCTCAAAATTCGGGTTTCTAGGCCACCAAGTCATAGATGACCTAGAAACCCGATAATTCCAAAATTAAGTTTTTTGGGTTTCTAGGCCATCTCGGGTAAATTTCGCTAGTTTTCCGTTCATTTTTTACAGACTTGCCTGGCCTAGATTTTTAGAAATTTGAGTTTCTAGGCCATCTAGGGTGAATTCCGGTTAAATTAAAGACTTATCTGAAGGAGACCGCTCAAATCGTATCCGGGAAACCTCCATTCGTTCAAATACGGCAAAAACACTTTTCCCTCTTTGTTCACATGCTCGGATTCCTGAACAAAATTGATAAAAACCAATTCCTTATCAGCTGACTAATCAGTTACTCACCTTGATGACCATCGTTGCCGTCGGATTGACATAACAAATTGGCGCGTAGTATGGATGCGTATCCCAAAGGAATACGGTAACCGGAATATTATAGCATGCGCCTTTATAGTAGACTGGTATTGTTCCTTTCAGACGAAACGCCGTTCGTCGCTTTCCGTCTGGAAACATGAAGGTGTCGGTGCCGGCGGCGAGGTCTTTGAATTGGGATAGAGCGCCGACGACGTCTTTTTTCGCCGAATCCACGTATTTTGCATTGGCGCGGACCAGGCACTGTTGTACCTGATGGCCGGACGACATTTTCTGGAACAATTTGGGCGGTTTTTAGTTAAAAATGCCGGTGAAAAACGAAAAAAAGCAGAATTGTTGGGATTTCAAAAGCTAGAAAGAAGCTCCGCCCATTTTTTGGGATACGAATGCGATGGCGAAAAACGTACAATTTAAGCAAAAATCTGAAATATTCTGCCCCCGCAGGTCTCACAACGAAAAGTACAGTACCCCATACAGTCAATTTTTCCAGTTTAAATCGACGGAAAATGGCACTTTTATAGTGGAAAAATCGTTTTTCAGTTACTGTACTTTTCGTGCTAGGACCTTTAGCATTCTGCCAGCCTGATATGACTAATTATCAGACGGAAAAGTGACCGCATCTTTTACGGTTCTGGGTGGTAAAAGCGAGGGAACTACGTGGCAAAGGGTTGGTGATAAGGAGGTGATAAGACAAGTGAGCAAGATAGAGATAGGAACAGAGGGAGTGAGACGCAGACATTGAGAGAAAACGCTAGAACTATGACCTGGCTCTAGGTAAAAGATATAGCGAAAAATTAGAAGTTGGCCTAGAAATCCAAATCTGGGCCAGCAAAAGCAAAAATTTTGAAATCAAGAATTTCGCGTAGAAATTTCGTTTTTTCTAGAATTTTTAATGTGATTTCTAGGAATTAGAAAATGACCTAGAAACCTAAATCTCGACCAGCAATTTTGAAATTTCGTAATTTAGGAAAAATCGAAAAATCGTCTTGAAGTTTACGCTAAAAAACGAGAAAAATCAAACAGATAATCGGCTTAAAATCTCGAAAAAAAAGGAAAAAACCAAGGGCGGCACAAACTTGAAAAAATCGCATTTTACTCGAAAAATCATAAAAATTCGTTCAGAAAATGTGATTTTAGGTCGAAAAATGGCGAAATTTGGTTTGAAAATTCTGATTTTAAGCCGAAAAATTATAAAATTTAGTTTGAAAAATCATGAAATTCTATAAATTAAGTAGCTACTTTTCGCTAATTTGAGCTCAAATCATCACAAAAAAACTGACGAAATTCAAATTTTTCATTATTATACAAATTTCGAGCGATATTTTTTTGAGAAAAATAACGGATTTTTCGGAACTTTTTCTAGAAAAAAAATGCGAATTTTTCAGCGAATTTTCTAAAAAAAACAAATTTTTTTCCAGGAAAAAAATCCCGTTAAAAATATCAATAAAAATTATTTGATCTAATGGTATGGCTTGTGATTCAACGGTAAAAGACCGTCGGGGTTGCGAAATAAACATTGAAAAAAGTCATATAAACATTCGGTATGTACCCGTTCCGATGGGGTAAAAACATTTAAAAAAATGCGCGCCAATTCGAATTCTTCGAAGCTAGCTTTTTACTCCCAAAGAAAAAGACACCGGCCGCAGCGATCAAATTGTAAATCGATAAATTGAAGAGAGAGCGGAAAGCCGCCCGGCGGACACAGGAGGCTAGAGTGCCAGAGAAGCCAGACATTAACTAAACCGTGTCATTGTTGTGCGGGGGTCCTCTGCGTCTCTGATCATTGCAAAATGGCCGATGCTGCTGGTGCTACATGGAGGACGAGAGAGTGTTGGGAGGTGTGGAGGGTGGTTAGAGAAAACGAAGGAACACACTCTAGGCTGGTGGAAAAGAGATGGGGAGGAGGCGTATCGCTTTGGGGTCCCTTTAGTCGCCTTGGCTTGGCGTGCATCGATTCTGGAGAAGAAGACGAAGAGGAAGATTTTTTATTGTTTCGAAGGCTTTTAAATTCGATTTCGCCATAGATAGTTGGAATTACGAAACCTACAGTAGTAGGATTTTTAGAATTTTTTTTTGAAAAATAAATTTAAATTTGAGTTTCCGAACCATAATTTTTCCTATTTTTCCCCGATTTTCACACTTTTGAGCAAACTTTTTTTCCGAATTTTTGAGAAATGTGAAAAATCTCGATTTTTAAAAGTCAGTATTCTAGCCTATTTTGACCCATTTTCTACGATTTCAGTCGATTTTGAGCCATTTTCGACCTTCGTAAGCCATTTCACAGTCGTTTTTGACTATTTCTAGCCCATTTCGACCGATTTAGATCATTTCAAACACATTTTTGATATTTTTTTGACTATTTTTAGTCGATCTGTAGTCAGATTTGAACAATTTAAAGCCATTTTTAGCTTTATTTTGACCCCTTTTTGACTGATTGAGGCCATTTTCGGTCAATTTCGGACTATTCTGGACCAATGTGGACCAACTTGAATCAGAATTATTGACTAATTTTGACCAATTTAAATCCATTTTCAATCGATTTCGGACTATTTTGCAACATTTTGAAGCAATTTTTCCCATTTTTCGAATGGTTTTTTTTTTTGAAAAATTAAAATGTGATTTTTTTTTTGATTTCGTCTTCTCAAATTTTCGAGTTTCCAGCTTTTTTTTGATTTTTCCGTACTTTACTTTTTTGGAATTTCTAAAAATTTTCCATTTTTTCGCATTTTCCGGAAATTCGGACAATTTTAGTATCAGTGTTTTTGGTAATTTTTTAAAGCGATTTTTCAGATTTTTATGATTTTTACCCATTTTTTACTTTTTTCCCGAAATTTTCGAATTTCCGCATTTTTTGAAAAATTTGGAAATTTTCAAAACTTCCGTAATTCAGACAATTTTCGGATTAGTAGTTTCCTCTTTTTTCAAATTTCGTTTTTGTGAATTTTTGGAAAATTCTGTGATTTTTGTTTCTATTTTTCTTCTTTTTTTTGCCAATTTTTACTTTTTTGAAAACTTTTATTTTCAGAAACCGCAAATCTATATACCAATTTAATCAAAGTAGAGGAGGGCCCCAATATAGTTGGCGGACACACTTTAACTCCGAATCATGCTTCCATTCCTAGCGCCAATTCGACAAGCCAATCATGTGTGAGTTTTTTGAATTTCCCGGCAAAATTTAGATTTTCAAGAAATCCAAAAGAAAAATTCAAAATTTTGGAAATTCAAAAACAAAAAATTACAAAATTTCAGCTCCCAACAAGGCACCAAATACTATGTCGAGATCACATTCCTAGCAGATTCTCCGTATTCGACGAGAGCGCCGTCGGCAAATCCCACGGAGCCGCCCATAATTCCAGCGCTGAAAAATCTAGAAGACGTGGAGGAGACGGTGTCTAATAAAAGTAGGAGTAGTGAAGGTTAGAATTAGTCCAATTAGTCACAGCGTCTTAATTAGCTAATTAAATGTTTAGGACTAAACAAGCTAGGAAATGGAGGAATGGGGAGCCGTCCGAACAGTCGAACGTCGTTGACGACGGCGATTAAGAAGACGAGTGTGTCCTCGCTGCCAACGTCAGCCCGATCCGAAGGAAAATCCTCTCCAGTACCGGTCAAGGATGCGATTCCGGCACCAACGCGGCAGAAGAACAAGGGTCTTGAGATGTCGTCCGGAATGATGGTAATTTGGAGAATTTTCGAGAAAAATTGACCATTTTTTGTTTTAGGAACTTTTCGGAGGTGGAGGCACGTCACCGGCGCCGGCGAGACGAGATCATGAAGCGGTTAGTGTGAAAAAACAGTAAACATTTGAATGAAATCGCAAAAAAATCGATTAAAAAAACGAAAAAATGGTTGAAAAGTGAAGATTTTCGACGGGAAATTCAATAAAAAATCAAAGGAGCAGCGATTTAAAATGTTCATTGAGTCCCGACACGAAAACCGTATTTCTTTTTAAAGGAGCAAGTTTTGAATGTGTAAAAATGTTTTCACCACGAAAACCGTACTTTTCCTTAAAGGCGCACACATATTAATTTTGTAGATTGAGTCTCGACTAGAAATTTCAAAAACCGCGAAACTGAATTTTTTAAAGTTAAATCGCCGATTTCTTCGCAATTTCCGCGTAATTTTCCTGATTTTCAGTCAAAAATGCATGTTTTTCAGCGAAAATTTCGCCTAAAAATCAAGAAAATCAATTTTACAATATTACTTTCAATGAATTTTTCAAGTTTTCAGCCAAAAATGCATGATTTTTGTCAAAAAAAAAAGCGAATTTTTCGCCAAAAATTGAATTTTCAGGCTTATGATCGTCGTGGTGGCCGTGGAGGTCTCTCGCAGCCGGGTCCCGAATGGTTTGAAGGTTTCGAACGGATGGATATGACGGATATAGAGCTCCCCGACCCAAATTGCCTCGCTGAAAAAGTGCTAAAAGGGGAAAAATCAACGCCAGATTTTGATTCCGATTGGCACGAGGCGAAAGAAGACGTTCTGAAAACACCAGAATATTCCGCGAAAAAATTTTCAGAATCCCTGCCGGGTCCGGATATCGGAGCCGGTGTTGAGGATGAGGAGGAAGAAGAAGAAGACGTGGTGGCAGAAGTGGAAGAGGTGGATATTTTATTCATCGTTTTTGTGCACTTTTCTCCCATCAATTTTTGATATAGTTTATCGTTGGGCAAAAACGTGGAAAAATAGGAAAATGCGTTTGTTTGGTGGGCCTGGAAGAAGGAATGTTTGGACAGGTGTTGACATGAAAAATTTATTTTCCAAAAAATGATTCAATAGAATTGCTGAAAAAAGTCTAGAAAAATCCTACAAATATGGCTTTAAGTTTCTAGGCCATTATTCTTAAAAACTTCTAGACTTTTTCGGAAAATCTTTTTTCCTGGAAATCTGTAAATCCCAATAAACACCTAAAATTCGAGAAAATCCCATTTTGCCCCTGGTGGCCAAAAAAAACCAAAAAATTAGAAAACCAAAAAATTCGGTCATTATTTAAAATTTTGTTTTTAAAAAAATTTTTCTGAATAACCCAAAAAAAATCCATGTTTGCACCTGGTGGCCTAGAAATTCAAAAAACTCGGCCGTAATTTGAATTTTCGAAATGTCCAGATTTTTTACCAAATTGCAATACTCCGAAATTTTAAAAAAATCTGGAAAAATGCTTAAAAATCCAGAAATTCCCATTTGGCATCTGGTGGCCTAGAATTCCAAAAAACTCGGCCATGAATTCTGTAATTTCCAAAATTTCAGATTTTTTCCAAGTGAAAACCCCAGAAAATTTGCCGGAAATCATCAAAATCGAGAATGCTGGCCTAAAAAACCAAAACTCGGACACATAATGTTTTTAAATTTATTTCGAAAAATCAAGTTTATAGCCTAGAAAATGCAAATTTTGGTTTCTAGGAAACACTTTTGCCAGTTTTTCAAAAATGGAAAATTTAGGCCACTATTTTAAAACTATTCTCTTCCAGAATTTCAAAATTTTTCGCCCGAATTTTGAAATTTTTAGGCCATCATTTTGGCTTCCTTGTCCCATCAAAAGTTGTATTCCTTCGTCTATTTTTCCTTCACGAACAACAAAAAGCGATTCTATCTCTTATCCCCATTTTCTTTTCTTTTCTTGCAGCTTGAGTACGAATCGAAAGTGGGAATGGAAGAAAAAGACGACGACACTGGCTCTTCTTCCTCCTCCAAAAAGGGTCATCCTTCCGAGAACAACGCGCGACGAGATAGCACGCAAAGCGGGGAGAGACGAGAGAGCACGGGCAACGAAGAGACGACAGACGGCGAGAGGGCATCCGTCGGTGGTGGAGGGGGTGCGCAGCAGTCCGAGAAGGCGGGTGGCCAAGGAGGAGAAATGTCGATTTTGCTCGTCAAAAATGCTCAAATTGTTAACGACGACGCGATTTTTGTGGCTGATGTGCTGATTGAGGATGGTGTTATCCAGTGAGTTTTTGAATTTTGGTCGGGCGGGAATTAGAATTTTCGAAAAATAATTTTTTTTTGAAAATTGGGTGAAATCAGTAATTCTTTTAAAATAGGTAAATTATAAATTTCCTTGACTTTTCGAAAAAAAAGTTTTTTAAAGTGTTTTTTTTCGATCAAAATTTTGACATATTTTACCCGCTTAATCCAATTTTTCGCAAATTTCCGAACTACAAAAATTGATTTTCCCAATTTTTTCGACCTCTAAAATTCCACGTCACCTCCTTAATTTTCCTCTTTTCCCCAGTTTTTTTTGGGTCACAAATTAGCAAAAAACGAGATAAAATGATGAATTTCGCAATTATAAGGGACTTCGCGGGAAATTTAAAATTTCGCAATTTTCCATATAAGGCATCATATAAAGAACAGCCTCTGAATTTCGCAATTTTCTATTCCCTTCCGCCTAGGGGCTTTATTTCTGGCGGGAATTTGAAATTTCGAAACCCTTGCCGGAAATGTGTCATGTAGAACCCAGTAACCCAAATGAAATGCGATATTTCTCTAACCGCACTCTCCGGTTTCTTCACACTCTCTCGCCTCATAAATTGAAGTGCAAGAGGGACAAGAGCACTTAGAAATTAGGCTCTTCTTGATGGAAGCGGCGCTCAAAACAAGGCAAAAATGAGCAAATTTGAGGGTTTTATGGGGTTCCGGGGACATCTTAAATGGGTAGTTAATCTACTGTGGGACCAAAAAATTAGAACTACAAAAGGTACTGTAGCTAAATTTCGAATTTGGTCAGCTCGACGATGGGAACAAATCGATGAAAATCGCGAAAAATGGCTTCTATTCGGTTACGGAAATTTAGCTGACCGAATTCTTGAATTGCGCGTCAACATGCCAGAAAGTGGTTGCGTTAGGATTTCCATGTCGGGCGGGTAGCGAACGGGTAGCTGCTACCCGCCCGCTTGCTACCCGGAACTTTTTGTGTTTGCAGACAATGTGCGCAACTTGCCGACACTTCGATTAAAATTTAAAAAAAAAGAGTTTTTTGACAATTTTTGTCGCTTATTGATGTAGTAAATAGTTTTTAAAATAATTCAGGTATAGAATTCATCAGCCAGTAAAATAACGAATTTGTTTCGGATGAAGACTGTGCGAAGCGCGCGAATTGTCGGCAAGTTGCTGCACATTGTCTGCAAACACAAAAAGTTCCGGGTATCAAGCGGGTACGGGTAGCTGTGGGTACGGGCGGGTGTATCGCTACCCGCATGGAAACCCTAGTTTGCGTACGAAGAATTTTGGCAAATACTCATTAGCTTGATGATCTTTTGCTAAATGCTCACTTGCTAAATATGCTCATTTGCTGAAATAGTCTCTTTTGCTAAATTTTATTTGGTAAAATTTTATCATTTGCTAAAACTGAAAAAGTGGAAATTTTGCTGTTATTTGCTAATTTCAATACTTTTTGACTCAATTTTTTACAGAATATTCCGGTTTTTGCTTTAAATTTTAGGCTTAGGCTTAAACACCTGTTTTCCGGTAAGGAGTTTCAGCCTAAGCCTTCAATTTGAACAAATCCTCTATTTAGCAAATGATCAAAATTTAGCCAATGAAATTTAGCAATTGAGACTATTTTAGCAAATGAGCGAGTTTAGCAAATGAGCATATTTAGCAAGTGAGCATTTAGCAAAAGATCATCAAGCTAATGAGTATTTGCCAAGAATTTTATTTCACGACACACTATTTAAATTGTGCGTCGTAATATAGAATGATTTGTCCGCAAACACTCTCTGGTTCGTTGACGCGCAAATGCACGAATTCGGTCGGCTAAATTTTCTAACCGAAATGGATGCCGTAATTGGCTCTTCCAAAGACATTTGGACGCGTCGCGTGTCGGCGTAGCGGCTTTTAGCTCAGTAGCTATTAAACAACATTTCGAAAATTTGAAGCTGTCACGCAGCCAAAAAAAAATACTGTATCCAAATCCCTACAAGATTAAAAGCTACGTAAATCGACACAAGAATCGGTCTTGTGTCGATTTACGAAACTTTTTGTCTGCGCCTCTCGATTTCACATGCTCTCTCGCCGCCGGAGCCTTTCTGTCATGTTTAAATCTAACATGACACAAAACGGAACCCCTCATCTTCCGATCTAGGCCTAACGCTAATGCGCCAGCAGAGAGGGTCCACATTTTGATTGATTAGCGCGGTCCTCTTCCTCTTCTCTTCCGCCAGTGCAATTAGCACCAGTGAATGTAAATGCATACATGATTTAAAGGGACAGGGACAGAAAGAAGAGGAAATTAGGCTCAAAGCCGTTTTCAAGGACAGGTGGAGAGGAGTCATTAGGGGCTACTTTTGAGCGGATCACATTGAGAAAGAAGGGTTGTAGGGGAGGTTAGAAATTGGGAAAATGGCCAAAAAGACCGAAAAATCGATATTTTTTCTAGAAAAAAATTATCTGAAAAAAAACGCAAATTTTTTGAAAATTTAACGATATTTCGAGTGGAATCTACCGTAACCCGAAAATTCAGCAATTTTTGCGATTTTTCACAAAAATCAGAAGAAAATCGACGAAATTCGCGAAAAATAGCTAAAAAGGGCCGAATTTTCGAACTTGCGATATGCCAGAGAGTGTTCGCGTACTTTGCATCTTATTCTACGACAAACTTTTCTATAAATGCGTTGTAAAATAAAATGCTACGGACGCAAACACCGGAATTTTGACGCGCAAATCCAAGAATTTGGTCGGCGGTCCGTCGGTCAAATGGGGGAAAATGACGTAAAATTCCGTATTTGAAAAAAAGGGTTACGGTAGCAAAATGCTTTCCCCTTGAAATATTCCGAAAAATTCCATACCCGAATGCCACGTCTAACCAAAGAAATTCTTCCAGAAACGTCTCCCCGAATCTCGAAGCTCCAGAAGGCGCGGATGTCATCGATGCGTCTGGAAAGCTTCTTCTCCCCGCTGGAATCGACGTCTACACACAAGTCACCGATTCGGCGATCGATGACATTTCAACTGGATGCAAGTCAGCCGTCGCAGGAGGCACAGCCACCATTATTGAAGTCGTGCGGCCACGTGGCGCAGAATCCATCACCTCCGCGGTGAAACGAGTGAAGAATCAACTGGAGAAATCTGCATCGTGCCACGTGTCACTATCAGTTGCAATAACTGATTTTAATGGATCAACAGAGCAAGAGATGGTGGAATGTGTGAAGAACGAAGGTGTAAATAGTTTTGTGCTAGATGGAGTTTCGATGTCAGATGATAAGCTTTTTGAGCTCTTTGAGCATGTGAAAAGGCTAGGAGCACTGATTCGAATCGTTCCGGAGAATAAATCGATAATTTCAATGCTAGAGAAGAAAATGTTGAAGCTAGGAGTGACGGGACCAGAAGGATACCCACAATCAAGGCCGGAAGCCTTGGAAGCTGATAAAGTGACCGGAGTATGTGTACTAGGAAATTTGGCATCCTGCCCGGTTTCCATAGTCCAGGTGTCTTCTGTAGAATCCCTGGGAGCTATTGAAAAGGCTAGAGGGACTGGAGCAATGGCACATGCTGAAATCGCATCAGCAGCGGTGGCAGCAGATGGAGGAGCGTATTTCAGTCAGGATCTCAAAGTGGCATCTGCGCACTTGACTGATGTCCCATTGAGAAGAGGAGCAGCGGATAAGCTTATTGGAGGTCTGGCGACACAGCCATTGGTGGTGTGCACTTCTGGACACAGACCTGTCAATTCGAATACGAGATTAGCAGCGAAAGACTTTGCGATCGCTCAAAAAGGGACAACAGGAGCTGAGGAGCGGATGGCAATAGTTTGGGAGAAAGCAGTGAGAAGTGGACGAATCGACCCGATGCGTTTTGTTGCTGTAACATCGACAAATGCCGCGAAAATGTTCAATATGTATCCGAAAAAGGGGCGAATTGCAGTAGGAGCGGACGCGGATTTGGTGATTTGGGATGCCAGTGGAAAACGAGTTTTAGAATCCAATAGAGCGCAAAGTAATCAGGAAACTTCGCTTTACGATGGTCTGACGGTTCATTCTGCGGTTTGTGCCACAATTGTCGCCGGAAAAATCGCCTATCAAAATGGAGAAGTGCAAGAGAAATCGGCGGGAGGGTTCCTTCGCCTCACTGCCAACTCGCCCTATCTCTTCAGCGTGGTCGGCCAACGCGACAAGGTGAGTGTGTGTTTCTTAAGCGCCATCGCACCCCTCTTCTCTTGTGTGGCCGCGTGGCGCAATGGATAACGCGTCTGCCTACGGAGCAGAAGATTGTAGGTTCGAATCCTGCCGTGGTCGAAAGCTTTTTTATCCTTTTTAAAGGAGGCACAAGCAGCCTGTCTGGTGCGCCTTCGGCGCGATTTAATCTAGTTTTTGCGTTCCAAAATGATGTTTTTTCAGTTCTCCAACGTCGAACGAGTCGAAAGGGACACACCGCGACCATCAGCAGCAGCTGCTCCTCAACAAAACGGTCATAAAAACTCCGGAGAATTCGACAGAAACCGAACAAAGGTCATGGAATCGTCCATTGATTTTGGAGGATCGTCGGCGAATCGCAATCGGAATCCACCGGGAGGACGAACCACTGGTTTTTGGTAGAAGTCGTCGTGTCAAGAATTTCCAATTTTTTCCTTTTTTTCCATTTTTCAAATCACTCACACATTACTAGTCATAATAATTCCCTTTTCCTAATAAAATCGAGCTTTTTAAAAACTATTTTTTCTCTCTTTTCTCTTTTTGTTATTCCCAGAAAAAGAGAGAATTAGATGCGCAGAGAAAAATTGATTATTGCAGCAACACATTCCAAATTTATTAGTATTTATTTTTGCATAAGTTGTCAAATTTCCCCAATTTTCATGAGCTTCTTTTGATGTTTTATTGATCTTCTTTGCATTTTTCCTTTGTGTTCTTTTTTCAAAGTTATGAAAATAAATGTTTCAATGGGCACAATTATAGGAAATTTCCAGAAAATTCTGAAAAAAAAATTGTGAAATCGTCGTTTTTTCGAGAAGGAAATTTTTCTATTTGCGACACACAAAGAAAAACGGAAAGACCTGTCGTCCTGGCTGTTTACTGCCCAAGGTTTCGCAATGGGTAAATAAAAAACATTGAGAATTCGAAATTTTTCTAGATAAAAATCAATTTTTCTGGCATTTTCAGCAATAAAATCGAAAGAAATCTTGTTTTTCTAGAATTTTAGCGGTTTTGAAATATTTTTTTTCACCGAAATTCATAAAAATCACCAAATTCAAAGCATCTTCCTTTAATAGATTACGGTTTTCGTGGCGAGGCTCGTTTTACAATTGAATAGCTTGCGGGCTCCTTTGATTTTTCTTCATTTTCTCATAGATTTGTCACCCGAAAATCTCCGATTTTCTATTGAAACTTATCAATTTCTTGCGATTTTTCACCGAAAAATCTTCCTTTTTCGCTGAAATTTCTCATTTTTCAGCCATGCATTTCGTGAAAAAAGTGCCTACCACCGAGCAGGAAAAAGCTGCAAAAGAAAAAGAGCACGCAAAGCGTTCGGCTCAATTTCTTCATGCTCGCGATCGAATCATCGCCAAACGAGACGTCGGAGAGTACGATGATGAGCTTTTGTCGTTGACTCAAGCGATTTTAGAGAAAAATGCCGATATTTATACGTTCTGGAATATTCGAAGAACTGCAATTCAGCAGAGAATTGAAGCGAATGAATTGATTCAGAAGAATCCAGAAATTGGGGAGGAGGAAAAATCGAAAAATGCTCAAAAATTGGAAAATCTGTTGGCAGGAGAGCTGTTTCTGTCCTATGAGTGTATAAAGTCAAACCCAAAATCCTACTCTGCCTGGTACCAACGCGCCTGGGTCCTTCAACGCCAAGTGGCTCCAGATTTCGCCAAAGAGCTGGCTTTGTGTGAGAAAGCGCTTCAGATGGATTGCAGGTTTTTTTGAATTCCCGCCAAATCGAAATTTTCAAAAAATGAGAAATTCCAGAAACTTCCACTGTTGGGACCATCGTCGAATCGTCGCCCGCCTCGCTAACAGAACGGAAGAACAGGAATTAGAATTTTCGAATAAGCTGATTGATGAGAATTTCTCGAATTATAGTGCTTGGCATTATAGGTGAAATTTTGGGAATTAAAAAAAAATGTCAAACATTTTTTTTGGAAAATTTTGAAAAAATAAATGTGTTGAAATTTTGAAATTCTGAAAAATTCTGAAAATATCGTTTTTCCAGATCAATCGCTCTGAAAAACATCCACCGTGATGCGAAAACTGGAGAGACGAAAATCGATGATTCGTTGATTGGTAGTGAGCTTCAGGTAGGTTTGAAAATTGGTCGGGAAATTCAAATTTTGAAATTTCAGAAAGTCAAAAATGCGTTCTATATGGACGCTGAAGATCAGAGTGCGTGGACCTATACTCGTTGGTTGTTGGAGGTTGGCAGTGGGAAGGAATTTCGTGAGTTTAAGAAAAATTTGAAAAAAAATCATTTTTTAGGTTTTCAAGGGATGACTTGTTTAGACTCATTTTGAAGCTCTAAACCTCCAGAATCGGAAAAAATGATATTTCAAAAATTTCAAATTTCGCGCCGAAAAAATCAATTTTTTCGAAATATTCAGAATCCACTAATTCTAGTGTTGTGTTTAGACTCATTTTGAAGCTCTAAACCTCCAGAATCGGAAAAAATGATATTTCAAAAATTTCAAATTTCGCGCCGAAAAAATCAATTTTTTCGAAATATTCAGAATCCACTAATTCTAGTGTTGTGTTTGGGCTCATTTTGAAGCTCCGGACCTTCTAAATATGAATTTTTAACAAAACTTCAGATTTCGGAGGTTTTGAGCTTCAAAATAAGCCTAAACGCGACTGGAATTGGGTGATTTCGAAAATACGAAAAGAAAAGATTTTTTCGGCGCGAAATTCAAAATTTTTGAAATTTCTATGAAATATTCAGATTCATGAGATTGAGAGCTTTAAAACAAGTATAAACAAAACATACTTTGAAAGCAATTATAAAACAATTTCTGAAAAATTTCCGAAAAATTTAACTTTCGCGCCAAAAATGAATTTTATCCAAAATCGTACCAAAATTTATCCGCATTTTCACGTGAAAAATCATAAAAATCAATTTTTAGAATGAAAATTATAAAAATAAATTTTTCACGAAAAAAATTGCCACGCCATGAAACTTTTTAAAACATTTAAAAAATTGAAAATGAAAAATATAGGTCTTCACGTAAATTTTTTTTGGAATTTTCAGATTTTTCAGATTTCGCGTCCCAAAATGACTTAAAATCTTTTTTTTACCTGCCAAATCTCGATTTCCACCGAAAACTCTCACGGCATCGCGGTTGGGAACCTGAAAAACGCGCGCTTCTTCGCACACAAAAGTTGGCTGCGTGCCAGATTCGAAAATTTTGAAACGTGTTTTGAAAAAAACGTGAAATTAAGCGTTGTTGAGTCGCTACTCACCGAAAATCCGCGACGCGACCGCGCTACGCGTCCAAACTTGGCGCGCTTTCCAATTTTTAAATCTAGGTTCTCTTCCGCGAGGCCGTGAAATCTCAAAATTCGATTTTTTGCAGTCCGTCCTGAATCCGCCGCGCCCATCGAACTGATTTCCGCGTCTTTCCATGGAAACAACACGACTTTGGTGTTCTCTCGAGCCGTCACCATTCCATTTTTGCTCACTTTTGTGGATACAAAAGATACGACTAGGTGGAGAGCTGTAAGTCTGAAAAGTCTAGCTGAAAATCGCTGAAAATCTGCAAAAAATTGGCTGAAATCGGTTTTAGAGCTCTAGATTTGCCTGGAAACAAATATTTACCGATTTTGAACGACTTTTAGAGCAATTTTGATATAATTTTAAATTTTGGAATCAATTCTACGAAATTCGAAGTTTTTGAATTTCAATATTTCCTTTTGAATTCCAAAAAAGGTTCGAAATTTCAAATTCCCTCCAATTCCAGTTCTCCTCCACGTCTCCGCACCCAACATCGAGTCGTGTCTGGCAATATCTCTCGGATTCCCCCCTTCGCGTAGTCATTTCCAGTCCAAATGCTGAAAATGTGGAATGGAGTGATTTGAAGGAGAGATATGTGAATAGGCGACGCCTAGAGACCATATACGACGTCGTGGAGACACCAGAACCCGGATATATTCAAGAACTACTTCAGGATTGTCATCAGCTAATCGAGCTGGAGCCAAAAAACAAATGGCCGTTGTATATGAAGACGTTGGTGTTGATGGAGTATCAACCCAATAAGGTAAGGAAAATAGTTTGAATTTCCAGGAAAATTTCATTTTTTGAGAATTTCAAAAAATTCTATATAAAATTCCCACAATTTTTAACGAAAATATGGTATTTTTCACATTTTTGTGAAAAATATAATTTCCCGATTCATGGGAGCCATTCTCATCGTAAAAATAGGTAGCACAGTACCATAGGGACCATATTTACCATAGTTACCGATACCATTACGCCATTAAAATGTACCATTTTTTGTAAAGGTACCATTTTACTATAGTTACCGTACTAACCATACTATCCCATAGTTCCATAGTACCATAGTACCATAGTTAACGTAGTTACTGGTACCATGTTACCATTCATAAAAACCAATTTTCTTGAAGGTACCACTTTACTGTTAACAAAGCACCATTTGACCATAGTTACCATAGCTACCGTAGTACCATTGTCACCAAAAGTAAAATGGTGACAATGGTGACTATGGTAGCAATGGTACCATGGCAACTATGAAAACTATAGAAAACTCAGTAAGCTGGAACTATGGTACCATGATAGTATGGTAACTAAAGTAAGTACGGTATCTTTTCAGAAATACGGTAACTTTCAATGTTAAAGTAGTACCTTTACAAAAAATGGCCCCTGTTGAGGGTGAAGTGGTTCCAGTAACTCTAGTACTAGGATATTTTGGTAACCATGGTAGATATGGTAACTATGGTAACTATGATAGCTATGATAGTGTTTCAGGTATTCACACGTTTTTACGTTTTTTCGCGCTTCCGGCTCTTCAAACAGCTGGCTGGTGCGCCGTCGGCGCGAATCATATTTTCCGCAATTTCGCGTGAAAATTTTTCGAAAGTCTGAATTCGATAAATCTGTTTCTTCAGGCCCACGACGAGATCATCTTCAACCTGAAAACCCTCTCCGATTCCCTGGATTCCAAACGTTCGGAACTCTACAAATCCCTCCTTTCTCGCCAGAAACTCAATCATTCGATTCGTGAGCAATTCGACCGCCTTCTCGGAAATGAACACGATCAATTGGTCGTTCGTTATGCCGAATTGACCAGTTTGGAGGGTGTTGAGTACTTGGCTGGATTGGTTGGAAACGCGGATTTCCAGGGAAATCTATTAAAGGAAATTCATCGAATTGTGCTCCCCAATTTGCATAGTTTGACGATTAGTGAGAATCCAATTGATAGGTAAGATATGGTAAAGTTAGGCCACCATGATAACATCGACTGGAAAACACAGGGTCATTTAAGTCTGAAAAGTCTGAAAAGTCTAAAGAAAAAATTCGAAAAAAATTCCTTCATTAAGAAAAACGGCAATATAGGGTCATTTCTAAACAATGAAAGTTAAAGGTGGGGGGACATGAAAAAAATAATGTTCTCGAAATTTCGTTTAAATATGCCTCTCGAGGAGTTGAACGTGTGGGACGAGGATTGAGGGTGCGGCGCCGCTACCGACTGAGCTACACGGGCAAAGAGAAAGCGGTCGCCCGATTGCATACATAAAGGCGAGGACGACAGCTGTACGCAGAGTGACATTAAGCGTTGTACACCGTCACGGTAGAATGCATACTCTGGCCCCAAAAATCCCCCGTGAAATCTCCTGTCCCCCCACCTTTAATGGCCTGGAAAATTCAACTTGCAGAAAGTTAGGTCATCATTTTGAAATGGCTTAGAAAAACACACCAGGTGTATATCAGGCTGTTTTAAGACTATTTACCATTATGGCCTAGAAAATTCAGTTTGCAAAAGTTAGGCCAGCATGTTAAAATGACCTAGAACTGGTCTGATATTCACCTTGCGTGTTTTTCAGTAATTTTAAAGTGGTGGCCCAACTTTTTCAAGTTGAGTTTTCTAGGCCACCAAGGTTTATAGCCTAGAAATAGTCTAATATTTGCATGGTGCGGTTTCTAGACCAATTACCATATTGGCCTAAAAAATCAATTTGCAAAAGTTAGGCCAGCATGTTAAAATGACCTGGCAAGCCCCTGGTATGTTTTCTAGCTCATTTTGAAATAATGGTCGAACTTTCGCAAGTTGGGTTTTCTAGACCACCACGTTAAAATGGCTTTAAAAACTCACTGGATAATTATAGGGTCATTTCTAAACCTTAAAAGTTAGTGGCCTAGAAAAATCAATTTGTAAAAGTTAGGCCACCGAGAACCCCAATTTTTCTATTCCAGCCTCTCGCCATCGCCATCTTTATCCCATTTGACATTCCTCTCAATTGCCGGAACTCAAATCTCCACCGTTCAATCCGTAATGCCATTCTTCCAAACCACCCCCTCACTGGATCGTCTTCTTTTCGCAGAGACTCCGTTGGTCGAGAAAACGGAAGAATTGAGAGCTCAACTTCCTGGCGTTCGTCTCATTCCACATTGGCTCTGAATAATTTTTGACTGAAATTCTTAATTCACTTAAATGTTCTTATATCGATATTTGATCCTACTATTTTCATGTACTATGAGTATTATTATCCTGTGTTAAAGGTGGTGTGCGGTGAAAAATTTTATTGCTTTATTTTGTGCAGAAATTTATGTAGATCCCCATAAAAATAAAGAAAAAATTCGAAAAAAATTCCTTCATTGAGAAAAACGGCATCGAAAAGTCAAAGTGGGAACCGGTGGCCTAGCGGCCAGGTGTGAGTTTTCTAGGCCAACTGCCAGTAAAAGCGCGCGAAATTCAAATTTTTATTGATTTTCAGTGTTTTCTCTAATGTTTTTTTGAAAGAGTTCAAAGTTTTTTCGTTAATTTCCTACATGGTGTGTAAAAAAACCTGACAAAAATCTGAGCAAACACTGAAAATCAATAAAAATTCAAATTTCTCGCGCTTTTACCGGCAGTTGGCCTAGAAAACTCACACCTGGCCGCTAGGCCACCGGTTCCCTCTTTGACTTTTCGATTCTGTTTTTCTCAATGAAGGAATTTTTTTGAACTTTTTCTTTATTTTTATGGGAATCTGAATTTCTGCACAAAATAAAGCAATAAAATTATTCACCGAACACCACCTTTAAAATGAAGTATTGGATTTGGTGCTTTTAAGGATTAAAAATCCCCAAAAGTAAACATTTTGAATAAAAATGGAAAATTCAGAAATGGAAATAACCGGAACATCAACTTCGAAGAAAAATTTAAAATGAAATAGAATATGGGCAACAGTAAAAAATTGATTGTAATTTTCCAAGAATTTCGAAAGGATTCCATCAAACAAGCGTTTTTCAAAAGCGCAATGTCATGGAAGAACAATTGTTCTAGTCCGCGGACCACAAATTTAAAATTTAGCTTTTTTTTTAATTCTCCGATTTTTACTTTTTTTTTCACTATTTTTTGCTTAATTTTCAGATAACTTTCAAAAAGAAAGATCCCCGAAGAAAGAACTTTAAAAAAAAAGAAAATTGCGGGCCGCAGACTAGAAAACGAACGTTGGAATAAGCTAAATACACCAAAGATCATTTACCGAACAAAAGATAATTGCGAAACAAGCACTTTTAAAATTTCGAATAAATATCAAACTTATGAAACTGAAACTTTTTGTTTGAATAGGAAAATTGGTTTTCTTTTACTTCTCAAGTCAGAAAGGTGCTTTTTGAAATCGGAATAATGTTTCTATTGTCTATTCAAAATAATCGCGCGGGTGAACGAGTGAAAAAACGTGTAGAGAGTTTTCAAACCTGTAGAGACGCTGTAGAGACGCAGACATTTTTACTCGTTCACTCGCGCGATTATTTTGAATAGACAATAGTTCATAAAAATTCGTAACAAATTTTAGTCAAAACATACAAAATTTTCTAGGTTTTTGATGATAAAAGATTTTACGATTTTCTCGTTTTTTCCACCGGAAATGGTTGGAAAATAGACATTTTGTTCGAAAATTGACGGAAACGATGTCGAATTCTTTCGGAAACATTTCAAGCGTTCCTGATTCAGCGATACATGTTAAATGATAAGAGTAACACATCAATGATAAGAGAAACACACATTCTCAGTTGTGATAATTCTAACTTTAACCTTCTCTGTTTTAATGAAGGTAACTTTGGGGACACAAAGAAAATTGAAAGATTTATGGGTTCGAAAAAGATTAAAGAGTACCACGCCGAGGGGGTTCAATGATTTAGGAATTTACAAATTTGGGAGCAAAAACAAAATCCTTGTTATGTCCTTATGGTGGCTATGAGACGAGGTTCAACTAAGAGTTTATTTACATAGAGAGAACCATTTAATACAGAGTTCAATAAGCTTATATAGGCAGTTTTATCGCCACGTAGATCTGAGGGTTGACATCATCCAGACAGTTCACGCCACAACAATCCTGGAAGAAACAAAGTTGGAAATTCGCCCACCACTGTCTAGAGGACTTTTTCTTCCATCCCATAGAACTTTGAAAAAAATCTGAGTTTTTATACCGCTTCTTTTTCACTTCGGTATTTCATTCTGCTTTTTCCCAATTAAAACAACGAAAATCGAGTTTTTATTCCAAAAAACATTTACAGGAATTACCACACGACCTTCAAATAATTTCGATTTTCTGAAACTTTTTTGAAATCCTTTTTTTTGAATCCTCAGTTTTGTAGTTGTTTCATCATTACACAGAGAACTATTACAATTTCTAATGCTCTAAACAAATATCAAACGTGTGAAACAGACTTTTTTATCATTACAAACATTTCTTTTTTGACTTCTCAAATCAGAATTGTTTGTAATGTTCCAGAAAAAAATTTAGAGCTATTGAGTCAATTTTTCAAACAGAATTTTTATATTCCAAATATTTCCCTAATACTAACTATGATCGATTGACCACAATGTCAGTTTCGTTCAGAAATCAAAACTTTGAAACATTAATTTCATTTTTTTCAACTTTCAAAACTAAAAATTTTTTAAAAAATCGTTTATTAATTTTTCCAAAATGTAAACCCATTTGTTTTCCGAGACAATACCCGTACCTAAAATTGGCATCCGAAAGATACATAAAATCACGATTAAATTATCAATTAAATTAATTTATAACAATTCAAAACTGGTAATATAACTTTGACACAACTTATCCGAATTCCTGTAGAAGATAACAAAAATGGTCAACTAAGAAAATATTTCGAACATTATGGAAAACATGTTATTAGTTGACAACTTTTTGATATCTTTAAGGGGAAATGAGATAAATTGTGTAAACGTTGAGAGCCCTTCAATTGCAGGTAGTTATCATAAAAAGCTCTAAATACTAAGTGCCGCTACTTTCTCCTCTCCAACAGCTCCAAAAATGTGATCTTCTTCATCTTCAACGTCATCTGAAGATATTTTTAAAAATTCCTCTTCTTGTTGTTCCAGTTTATGATAAGCTGATAAAGTGGGCGGAGTCGCGGGGAACAGAGAATACACAACGACTGATGACGTCACCAGTAGAAATCCAAAAATGAGATGAAGAGTTAGAAGACGTTCTCCGAGGAAGATGGAGACCAGGGATGTTAGTCCTGAAAATGGTTTTTGTCTAGTTATGGAAATTTCTTGAAACTAATTGTAAGAAAAAACGTTTTCTGTTTCGATTAATTTTCAATACAGGTTCGAAAATATTGTAGCGACCAACGATGGGCTTTTAGCATTAAAGTATTCTTTTAAGAAATTTTAACAGATACCATTTTCTCAATTTCTCAATACAGCGCATTTGCTTGTTAAATAAACTGACCTACCTATGGCTATGGATTGGCAATATGTCTTCATCACATTTTCAGCGTATTTCATCACGGGGAATCCAGAAAAAGCCAAAACATTTGGGACCATCCTTCAAACATTCCACCTGTAAAAAATACTGGTATTTTTTACTTTCTCAAAATTCCAACATTTCCGGTTTCAAAGTTTTTGTGTTTTCTTACTATTATAGCAACTTTGATCGCATACGTAAGCGAGCGAAATTTATTGAAAATCTATTTTCATAAAAATTAATGTCTCGAAAAGAATGTAAAAATTTCGACTTCACAAATTGAGTTGCTAATAATACTGTTTTGCTATTAGAAAAACTTTGGAATACTGAAAAACTAACTCAAAAAATGTATAAAAAGCTTTCAATTTTGACCCAATTTATTATGGTTGCTATGGGAGATACCAAGAAGTTATCCACTAACAGAATGTTTATCAGAATATCGAAAATATTTTATCAGTTGAATACTTTTTGTTATCTTTCACAGGAACCGAGATAAATTGGCTTACAGTTGATGGTTCGGTTTTTGGGTATGAATTTTCGAAACAAAAATTGAAAAACTACAAAAATCATCAATTCCTGAAATCTTTTAGGAAATGTGAGAAAAGTTTCACTTCTTTGTAAATTCACACTAAAAATTGCTTTTGCTGATATTTTCAAGAATTTCTCAAAACTTCCAGTTTTCAGAATATTTTAAAATTCACAGAGGAACAAGTTCAGCAATTCGTTGGGATAGAGAGTTTCACTTAAAATTATGAATGAAGCGAATTTATTGAAATTCTGCAATTTTTAAAATAAAAACTGATGTTTAGAAGAGAATGTGAAATTTCGATTTAACAAATTCGCCTTCGCGCCCCCGTAGCTCAGCCGGTAGCGGTGCTGTACCCCTGAGCTGTCCAGAATGAGTTCAACTCCTCATGGGGTTCGCTAGGCAAAATATCAGGAAAACTTTTTTTATGCCTGGCCTCCTTTAAACATTTTCATCAATGCAATTTTCACATCCCAATAACAGCAGCTACGCTTTTTAAGTAACGGTGGTTTTTGTTTCAAATAAAATTGGCCTACGATAACACGATAACAAGGAAACGACTGGAGGAAGCAGGCGTGACGGCAAGCCATCACACTTTAAGAAGAGGATCAGCGAACGAACTGCAGTTCAGAGGACTATCAATCGAAGAAATCGAAGCAAGAGGTCGTTGAAGATCGAACCAAGGGTTTCTCCGGTATCTTCAGGACAACCCATCGGCCCAAGGATTCAAAGTGGAAGAGTTACCAGAGGAGGAGTCGGAAGACGAAGGTCTATCCCGTTTGGAGAGGGAAATTTAATGATTAATAATTTTACTCAATTGATTATTCCTCTCTTTTTTTAGTTAATTCGTTGTTGTTAACTCGTTTTTCTGTTGATTTAACCATTATATATCCACTTCTAGTTAGTCCCTCTATAAGAGTTATGTTCTACTAAGAGTCTTAGCTACCTTGTTTAGCAACCTTATCATGTTCTATCATATTTACAGTTAATTAAACTGATCCTGATTGATCAGTCACACCACTTGCTCTTTCAACACACCAAAAGCAATTCAAATAAATCTGTATAATTAGTATGTTTTGTTGGTTTCTTTTTCTAAATTTTAGGTAGGAGTTCTAGCGGGGGACCAGAGAAAACGAATTCTTCTTGATACGGTAGCCCCCCGGCAGTGGTAGCCCCCCGGCAGTGTGCCTTATCGGTAGCCCCCCGGCAGTGTGCCTTATCGACAAATGATTTGTCGACAAACGCCCTTTTCGACAAATTTATCGAAAAATTTACCGGTAAATTTATCGAAAAATTACCGACAAATTGTCGATAAAAACAACATTTATCGACAATTTGTCGATAAATTTGTCGATAAAAATGCTGTTGGTCGACAATTTACCGAGAAATTTATCGACAAATTGTCGACAAAAATTTCTATGAACCGCCGGAATTACTTGTAAAAAAATTATATATAATATTTATTGTGTTCCCGAGAGAATTCAAGAGCAATTTCGTCAGTTTGCAAGCATAATTTTTCATATTCCAGCTGATTTTGAGCAATCGCAAAATCTGAAAATCGTAAAACCGCACTTCTTAAAATTGTCTCATGTTGTTTTTCAAACACTCTAATTGTTTAATTACTTGAAAAATATATTAACCAAATTTTTAACATTTGTCAGAAATCAAACATTTGAAACATTAAAATTTATGTTTTCCATTTTCAAAACCAACACTTTCAAAAAAACGTTTATTAATTTTTCAAAAGTTTAAACCCATTTGTTTTCAAAGAAAATACCCGTGCCTGAAATTGGCAACCGAAAAAGATAAATAAAATCACAATTAAATTATCACAGAATCAAGTTAGATATAACAATTGAAAACTAGTAAAATAAAGCGTGTCAAAGATAGGGGCTCTTCTATTACAAGGTAGTTCCCATAAAAGCTCTAAATACTAAGTGCCGCTACTTTCTCCTCTCCAACAGCTCCAAAAATTTTATCTTCTTCATCTTCAACGTCATCTGAAGATATCAGAAGTTCCTCTTCTTGTTGTTCCAGTTTATGATACGCAGATAAAGTGGGCGGAGTCGCGGGGAACAGAGAATACACAACGACTGATGACGTCACCAGAAGAACTCCAAAAATGAGATGAAGAGTTAGAAGACGTTCTCCGAGGAAGATGGAGACCAGGGATGTTAGTCCTGAAAATGGTTTTGAGTTCTCGAAAAAAAAATGTTGTGTTTCAAACGCTTTTCAATTCAAATCAAACAATTTTGCAGCAATAAAAAAGGGATTTCACAAGTTATCTACTCTCTTCAACATACTTTAACACCGTCTTCTCAATTTGTCTATAGAGCGCATTTGCCCTGAAAAACTTACCTATGGCAATAGATTGACAATATGTCTTCATCACATTATCAGCGTATTTCATCACTAATGAAATACACAAACCGCCGATGGAATTGAGAATTGTGACAAGCCAAACCATTTGGGACCATCCTTCAAACATTCGACCTGCAAAAAATTTTGATATTTTCAAGAGTTTGGTTGTTTTTCAATTTCGAAGTTTTCCGGTTTCAGATTATTTGTAATTTTCTCAGATCAATTTTTCTCATTTTCAATTGTTTTCGGCTCTGCATATCTTTTTAAAATTGTACAGCGCGTTTACAATTTGTTGAAAAGCTGAAAGTTTTTACAAAAATTAATGTTTCGAAGAGCATGTAAAAATTTCAATTCGAAAAATTTAGTTGGTAATCAGTCCATTTCGTATAAAAATTTTTTATCACTGTGGAATATTGAAAACTTGTTTAAAAAGGGTTATCAATTTTGATCCAAGTTATCTTGGTTGCTATGGAAGATATCAAAACGTGGTCAACTGATAAAAAGTTTATCATAATACCGAATATATTTTATCAGTTGAGCTCTTCTTGATATCTTTTTAATTGGCTCAAAGTTGGTGCTTAGGTTTTAAGGCACGAATTTCGGACAAATTGAAAAACAACAAGACCATCAATTCCGGAAATCTTATAAGAATTGTTTGAAAAGTTTTTCTTTTTTGATATTTCACACTATAAAAATTGTCGCTTCAAAAATTCTAGAACCTTCTGGAAGTTTTCAGTGATGAATCGACGAATTCTAGTTTTCCCTTTTCCAGGAATCACAGTTTGTCCGTATATCTTTGTGAAACCAATTTTGAAGTCACGATTTTTCCAAAATTTCCAGATATTATTATTTTTTTTTTACAGTTTCAAAATCCCCATTTCAACTTTTTTTTTCGAATCAATGTATTCTTAGATTCCTATGCTAAGGTTGCAATTTTTATATTCGGATGCAATTTTAAAAATTGAGAAGTTGCTCGAAAATGTATATCTAATACACATAATTTAATGCTTACCCTGTACAACCGCCTCTCCATCCGTCGTCATCATTGTGATTCCCGCAAAAATCAGCGTCAAAATCGATAATCGAATATTCTGCATCCAAACGTCGGCCGACGAGTTTTTGAGCATTTTTTCAAAGTAGACACCTAAACATTTTTAACTTTGTAAAATTCGATGGAGCGAATTTCCTCACCTGCGAATGCACTCGTCCAGCACATTCCAATAACAGCAGCAACGCCAATCCAGTACGTTCCAGCAATTTCTTTATGTGAATTTGATTTGTCCAACTGTAAAAAGTGTTATTTTTTCAGCTTAATTATCTCAGCTCCCACAAGAGATATCAACAATCTGTCAACTGATAAAATGTTGTTCATAATATCAAACTTATTTTCATAGTTTACACATTTTTGATATCTTTCATAGGAACCGAGATTATTGAGCTCAAAAATAGAGCGCAATTGCTCACCGACCTGTACAGTAGCCACACCAATTAGTGCCATAACTTGAGCTCCCCATTGGTACCATGACAGTTTCTTATTCAATAAACACACTGATAAAGCAGCTGTCGTCAGAATTCGAAGTTGGAGTGTAACCTGAAACGTTGATTTGAAAAAAGTTGTCAATGGAGCAAACTTACTGAATAAGTCGTAGGGTCAATATTCGCTAGCGCGATGTAGTACAAGTTATTTTGAATCGCATATACTACTGCTGGAACTGCAACTTTCAGCGTTTCGATTCGATTCTTCCAAATGTTTTTGTGAAGTTCGTGGGTGGTTCTGTAAATATTTCTGAATGGTTTAGAAATAGCAAGAATCTTAAATTTTCAATCGGTTAACAACAGTTTTGAAACTGAAAAAAATTTCACTTAATATTTTACTAGAAGTTGATAATTTTCCCGAAAATTATTATTGCCGTTTCAAAAACTTAAAGGAGGCCAGACATGAAAAATTTCAGAGTTCTAGTTTTTTGCATACTTGTAACGGGCCGGGCCGGGCTTGTCATTTCACTAGTTTCGAAATTTTCAAAAAACACATAAGGGGGGACCCTTATGTGATTTTTTTCGACCAAAAAAATTTTTTTCGAGTTTTTCGATCTTTTTTGACCAGACAGACAAACAATCCGAAATACGAAAAAAAATGGACAAAATTATATTGAGAGCTCAAAATTTGGCTCAAAAATACAGAATTTTTGACACCGGGCCTTGAAAATTTCCTCAGATCCGGCCCGGGCCCGGGCCCGGGCTTTGGCGGGCCGGCCCGGAATTTTACAAGTATGGTTTTTTGATATATGACACAGTACGGTCAGAAAATATGTATGGCCATCCAACCAGAACTCCATTTTGCCGTAAAAGCGAGAACGCGAACATTCTTCCAAGCGGCGGGTTTGATTCCCATCTGTCCGTTTTCGTTTTTTTTCTGTTTTCATGCGGCGACATCATGGAATGACAGAATAATGACAAAAAGTCTGGAATTATCGCCTTACATTGAAGAAATCTAGTGTACACTAAAAATAATAAATGCTCGTCAAGTAACGCGCATTGGGTCGCAATCACACGATTTTCCGTCAGAATACATGATCTCGCTCCAAGAAAACTCCGTAGACTTTCGTGTCTGGTCTCCTTTAACTTGAATCAGGTAACTAAAATAACAACGATGGTTTAACGGGAACACATCATCACGGAACGGAACCGATTTTTAATTTTCCACTTATTTTCCCCTAACACCTATTGCCAGTCAACTTTAGATGCCTACAAAACGTAGTAGTTTCTGTTGAATAAGATTGAAATGTTTTAGTACAGGTGTACTAAACAAAAATAGAGCTTCATATATGTAGTAGACAACTTTATTTAAATAAATTCATCTAAAGGAGATATACCGCATAAAAGTGTCACGACTCTAAACTTTGTTACATGGTTGTTTGGACAAATTCGTGCAAAAAAGTTGTCAACAACAAAATTGAAGATCCATTTTTGTTAAGCGGAACTGTCGATTTTCAGACTCGTCCAACAGAATCTATATTTTTGGCATTTATAGAATTTATCAATGAAAAATGATTGAATGCGCATAGAAGGACGTATCGAAATAGTGAAGAAAACGAAACCAATTAGGGGTAAAGAAAGCATTCACTGATCATTTTATGAGGGAACAGTTTTAAGTAAAATACAAGAATAAAAGTAAAAAGTATTAAAAATCCCGCTTTGAATTTGAATGTGTTGTATCTGTCTAACCGCACTTTTTCTGTCAAAGTCGATAACTACATTGATTCATCTTCCTTCCCGGTTCCCTCTGGTGTTCCGCAAGGATCAGTGGTTGGACCTCTCCTTTTCATCATTTTCATTAATGATCTTCTTGAAAGTATCACCACTGGTCTCCACTTCTCTGCTTTTGCTGACGACATAAAACTCTATTCCCAAGATCCCTTCCTTCTAGAATCTGGAATTAACACTATAGATACCTGGGCCACTAACAATAAGCTTCCTCTAGCTCATACAAAGACTTCTCTTCTACACCTTGGTTCAAGAAACAAGCACGCCCCCCTCTTCATCTCCTCCTCAGCTATTGAGTCTTCTGACAATATTCGTGATCTAGGACTTATTACCGACTCCAAACTTAAGTTCACCCAACACATAAACAAATCGGTTGCTGTTTCACTTCTCCGGTCCAAACAACTTTTGAAATCTTTCAAATCCTCCAACCCCTCATTCTACCTTCACTTATTCAGAACCTACGTACTCCCCTCTCTTGAGTACTGTTCAGTAATTTATTCTCCTTCCCCCAATTCCAAACTCTCTCAAAAACTCGAATCCTCACTCCGTTTCTTCACCCGTAAAGTCTTCCAGAAATGCAATATCTCATACTCTTCTTATCAAGATCGTCTTTCCCAACTTGACCTCTTCTCTATCAGACATCGTAGACTTAAATCTAAACTTATGCTTCTTTACAAAATGATTAGTGACGCCTCTTATATGCCAGAATTATCCTCTTTCTTAAGAATTTTCGACTGTCCTAGGAGACCTATGACCCTTATTCTCTCAGATAAATGTTCCGATGACTTCTTTTTCACCACCGCCCCTATTTGGAATGCAATTGTAAGGAATACTCCCCAATTTTTAACTCCCGGTCAATTTTCTACCTTAATCCGATCCTCCATCACCCGGTTTTAGTTTTCAGCTTACCTTTTCCCTTTTTTTTCAATATCTTGCCAACCTTACATGTATACCATTTTCTTCCCCATTCTCTAGGTTCATCTCGTTAGGGATTTTATATAGAACTCCCGTTATAACTTTTGTGCCATATTTTCTTCTGATCAATAAATTATCAATTATGAAAGTTGTGATGAAAATTTTTTTGAAGTAAACGTTCCGATAATCTTTGGTCCAAAATTTTTCTTCGTTTTCACATTCTCTATATTTCATTGCTTCATTCGAAATGAAGCAATGTTATCCATGAACAGCTTTTCTGTCAAAAAAAATCCGGTATATAGTTTCGATGCGTTACAATTATGAGAAAAACTACACAGAAAACTTCGCAAAAAAAAGTGAAGTCCTAAAATTCGAAAATTCGAAAACTACTGTTTTAGTGGAGTACTATGTTCATTGGTAGTTCCTAAAAGTAATGATTGGTTCGCCGGTATAATTCGCATCGAATAACATTCTATTAAAAGAATAAAAAGAAGTTCTGAAAATTTGGAAAAAAAATCTTTTTTTAAAAATCAGTGTTTCAGTTACCGTAAAACCTGTATTTGAAGGGCCGGCCTTTCTATTTTTCATGGGATCCCTTCTATTGGAAGGGCATAATTTTTCAGTGATAATTTCGTTTTTCTACTAAAAACCTATTACAATTTCTACATAAAAAAGCAAAAACACCAATATTGTCGAATTTTAAAAAAGCTGGCACCTGAAAATTTCGCGGGCGCCGTTCGTGTCGATTTACCAGGCCTCGTCCTTGAATCCGCCATTGTATTAAACGAAATTAATTTCTTTGAATTTAGTGGGATTTTCTCATTAAAATTCAGATTTCTTGGTAAAATTTTGATAGCTGGAATGTCTAGAATTTTTCAAATCGAAAACGGCATGCTTGATTGCGAAAATTGCGCGAACGAGAGAAACATCTGTATTAGAGCCACGGCATTCAAATTCTCAAGTGGCAGTATTTTTAAAAATCCTACAGTCTTTCAATCAAAAGAACGAAAAAAAAACGGCTGAATACCAAAGGAGCTAATCAAAGGGTCACTTTAATTAGAAGGGGTACTACAAATAGAGGGGCCCTTCAAATAGAGGGAGCACTTCTATTTTTCGTGAGGTCTCTAGGGGGGCACTTCAATTAGAGGGGCCCTTCAATTTCAGGGGCCCTTCTAATACAGGTTTTACGGTATCTGTAATAGTCTAGTAAACGAATTTCTAATCATTAATCTCGCAATGTAACAACCTCATTGAACACAAAACTGAATGTTTCAACTAGTTTTAATTAAAAAATCATTTGAAATAAAAATAATTTATTTCTGTTGTTTCGAGCCTGTTTGCCGCGCCTCCGGCGCTTCAAACAGCTGGCTGGTGCGCCTTCGGCGCAATTAACTTATTTATTTTACTGTTTGTCGTTTCGCTCCTCTCTCTATTTTTTATAGGGTCACGTCAATTTATATTACGGGTTTATTCAGGGAGTCGGCAAAAAAGGAAAAAAAAACTCCGCCAAAACTCGGAGAGTGTTCGAATCTGGCTGAAACTTTGGGGAAAAATGGAGAAAAC